TATCTGCAATAATATTTAACCTAGTTGTTTTACCCCAAACAATCGGGAAGGAAATAAAAATCACGTCCCGAAATAAAAAAAAAAAAAAAAACTTAATACTGAAATGAAATGTAAACAGTTAGTTGTGGATACAATTAAGCATTTTAAAGAACATACGACGGAACAGCTGTTTCAAGATAGCTGACTATTGATTACTGATTTGGAGAATTGGTAGATCGACTTGAAAAAAATAAATAAGTACCAGGGTACTAAGCTTTGCTCGGGGAAATCATTACTATACCCTCAGAGAAGGCTTTGGTTTATGCAATTTATCCTTATCATAAATTAAAGAATATTTTATTTTCAGCGGTAAACACAGCTGGAGAACGCAACAGACTACAACAATGCTATGCTGACGGCGAAGCTACCTCCCCCCTCCTCAGTGCCTATAAACACGACATGGATATACAGTAGTCTGGATCGCGTTCTGGCACTAGAAATTCGAGAATAAAGCGCTGAAAACAACTAAATGCGGAGCGGAAGTCAGAACAATAGCGGAACTCACATTGACTGTGTGGAACCATGTTGGTGTGCATCGAAGAGTGTAAACGCGATCGTAGCGCGACGTGGTGTCGATTTTATGAAGCTATACACTCGCACACTTTGGTAAAAAGCAGTAAAATGAGCTCCGACCTAGTTCAAGCTATTTCGGGTATTTCCGTGATGCCGAAGTCACTAGGACAACGAATCAGAGGCTTTCTCAATCCGAGCTCCGGGGGGTCGGAGCTCACATTGAAAACGGAGCTCACGTTGTTGGTGTGTAACCATACGTCGGATCTCACAATGTATCATTCCCCAACACACACACACACACACACACACACACACACACACACACATATATATATATAAATCTATATATATAATATATATACCTATATATAAAAATTTGAATGAATGGTGTTTTCGGCCTCTGGGGACATCAAAATGAAAAAGTAAATCGGTCCCGGGCTCAGGTCGCTAAAAACTTATAAGGTTTGCCAAAAGGGTGCAGCACTATGACAACAGCTAATTTTAACCAAGCAGCATCAAAAATCTGTGATACACTTTGAGAACTTTACGTTTTTCCATTGTTTAGGTGCAGTGGTAGAGCATTAATTAATTATGGCTATGGTAGAAGTGCTATACTATGGCATACCGTAAGTTAAAAGAACGAGACCGTGTCCTTTCCCAATGCAAACGCAAAGCTCGAGTATAACTGCAATAAGCATTTTATACTTATAGGCCAACCCCGTACGAAGGACGAGTACTTTGCTAGTTTTATCATAAAAACAATCAAGAACAGTTTGATAGACCAAATACGTATTTCTAAAACGTGGATCTTATGTTAAATGGAGACATTTTTGTTATTTTGGTATATCAATAATAGTTTTGAACCATTACAAATATTTTAGCTTTTCTCACGATCGAACTGGCATCCTAATTATTAACTACAAATTCTCATTAAATCAATTAGTTGCCTTACATAATCATAACGAATTCCATTCAAGTAACTTTGCTTAATGCATGTAGTTTGGAAATAGTAAAACATGCTGATTCGTAGGCTAGCTTCTTTGACATTCTGATTACTAAGTATCTTCTCTGGAAGGATTACTAAATGACTGCCAAAGAATCCTATAATCTTGATTGAACAGGTCCCTAGATTAGGCCTACAGTTCCAGTCAGAGCTGTATTGAGAGAGTCAAGTTGATGTCTTGTAAGGTTGGAGTTGTCAGATGTCGGGGTTTAAACTCCAGGAGTTGTACTTGAGCTATACTTGACACCGATCTCCAACTGAGCTGCGTACTTCCAAGTTTGGCAATTCACAACAAATCCCTACGGAAACGACCACTTAACCACTAGGAATCAATAGTTTAAGCATATTTTACTGTTAAAGTTAGGTACACATGTCCTTAGGATTTTTATATACGTGCACTGAATCCAAGATACTTGCGCTACACGGGTTTTAGCGAATACCCCATATAGGGCTACGTTAAGCTATTACATAAAAGAGCTCAAAACCTAAAATACTCAAATTTTGTTACAACCATCGTGGAAAGTAAAAAAAAAACTGAAAATTATGTATTTTAAAGCGTTGTAGTACAATCAAAAGCTACGGAGAAAATTAACCCTTTCCACTCTCATTGTAGCAAATCACACTAATAATAAATCATAAAATTGCAAAAAATGTGCCCCTTTTTTCTGGAAGCCGACAAGTGATACGATAACGAAGCGGCCGATGTCGGCTCAAGACCGACAATAGAGTGGTAAGGGAAAAACCCGTACATTTAAAATTATCATCTTATTGTCACAGAACGAAAGTAAACTGTATATTTTGCTTGCTTATGGATATGTTTTGATCAAATTCAACTAGTTAATTGATTTCTACAGTACTATTTTCGTTTTACAAAAAAAACACGTTTTCCTTTCCCGTTGCAGCAAACATAAGTACTCAATAAACCTAATGTCATTAAGGCTATTTAGATAATAAGTCTAAAATGTTTAAGGAAATATTTTAGTCAAAATTCCATCAGACAAATAAAAACCCCCCTGCGGTGGGAGTATTTGTAAACTAGCCTACATTGATTTGTCCGTCACAACATTAGTTAAGGGCCTATAGTTAGTTTAAAACACGTCGTACAACAACTAACGCACGTCACATACTAACTGACCTGCAGTACGACTAGGCTAACGTATTTTCCGTGTTCATTCCTCATGCGGATAAATATATTTTTTCCACCGAAGATCTGTCTATTACGAATGTTGAACAAGTTTTTTGTAAACCATCGTAGTTACTCGTGCTTATTTTACTGTATAGTACATAGCATAACATCCATGGAAATCGTTAGTATGAAAACAAGCAATCTTGATCAAAATAAGTATTTTAATTTGATGCGACGGTTAAGTTCGATTACAATATTTAAACCAAAACTGAAACCAATTCAAATTTATTTGGCCTGCTTTGTATTTTTATCTATATAATTAATACGCTACATGAAACTTTGTCGGTTGAACTCCTCCGCCATTTCTTAACCGATTTTATCCATTGACGTCTCATTGGAAAGAGCGTGTCGCGTAGATTTGCAAACTGGCCTTACATTTTTGAAAAAGTCCCTTGGGCTCTGCCCCAGTGGCATTGAAAGTTTCCATGTTATTCTTATGAAGAACATAATTGTTTACATTTTGATCTTGATCAGCTGTATAATTTAATTGCTGTTATTTATTTTTCAATTCAATGAAACGCATTGAGTACATTTATTTACTATTTGAGTTTGTGTAAACATAACCCCCAAGACGATTCGTGTTAGTATGGTTGTATCTTAAATGTGTGTATTTATAGTTGTTTTGTGTCGCTATGACGGATCGTGTTAGCATGTTTGTAACTTAAATTTGTGCATTTATAGTTGTATTGTGTAGCTATAATTTGTTTATTTGTTGTTTTTTTCCTTTTAAATGCCTCCGACGCAACGACAACGAAACATAGACAGGAGGCGTAATCGTGATAGTGACCACAGCTAACAGTGGCGCGTAATAGGCTTAACTCATCACAGTCAGCACCTGACCCTGGACAATCTCAACTATTAGGTTACAAATGCGCCCTAACACTACCCCAAAACGACTTTTCGTTCTCAATTGGCCCTCTATCAATGACCTGTGTAGCCCGTACTACGACGCATTATAAGAAGAAGAAAACCGGCCGGAATACTTTAGATTTTTCGAAGATAAACATGGTCTGAGTTACACACCGGTAATTTTTGAGTTGACTCTTTTAAACTCATTGTAAATATGACTGTTATTCGTTTTGATATAACTCCTGTAATACTTTGCAATTGCTCGAATTCGAGCAACATGTACACTAGTATTTATTATTTAGTATTTTTATATTTTTGTATTTTTAAAGTAATCCCTACTTCGGTTAAAATACGCATTTAGTATAATATGTATTTACTTACGTATTGTTAATCCACCGGACAACCAACTTGTTTTTATGATTCTGAAAAGCGAAATGGGACTGTACTGTTTACACAAATCTCAAAGTTTAAAGTCGTGTAGTCGTGAAAAATTTCATTGTCCTTAAAAAAACAGAGAACCAGGTAAAAGTAAAGGCAGGTGTTTTAAGACTACTGCTGAAATATTATGGCGTCACTGTAACTTGGAAACACAAAAATGACGAAAACAAACCCGACATCGTCGTCCGAGTTTAATGCTATCCAGCGAGATTTATCTTTTTGCATTTATTTTGTTAACAGATATAAATAAAATCAAAATTGTATATTATCACTTCCGTTTCATTATAGTTCAACAACAAAATTCATTTTTATTCAATCTATGTACTGTGATTGATAATTTAAGATTCTTCAGGTTGTTTCATCTGTACATATTTAATTCAAAAGGTTTAAAATACCTAATACTGTCTTGTAATTCTAATCCAAGAATGGACTACGCGTTTCGATGTAGACACATAATTTGAAGCACATAATTTGAAGAATTTAAACCATAATTTAAAATACACACAACATTAAATAACAATGAACGTACAACTAGAGGCCTACACAAGTGCACATGACGGGTGCTGAGTGTCGTCAAATATAATACATATAAATAATTAATAAATGTATCCTGAAATAATTATAAGTAACAGACTAATATTTTACACCATGCGAAGATTTTATTCGAACCAATTATCAAGCTAGGCAAGGTGTGTGTGTTGTTTAATCCATGACGTGACCATCGTTATAATGGTTTATTCCTTCATGTTGTGTGCGACTTTATGATTATGCGTGAAAAAAGAAATGCGTAGTTTATTCTAAGAGCAGAAGAATCACAAGTCTGTACCATGTATTTTATCCTTTTACTATTTATGTAAACGTTATTCGGAATAAACAACACAAAATAAAACTGTCATAATTATTTTACGAGGATGAAAATGTCTCAAATTGTGTTTGAGTATAATACAAAGAGGTGTGAAATAAAGACCAAAATTAAAGAATTATAAATATATCTTTATTTTAACACGAAATCATTTGTACAAGTTTTCCTGGGACTCTTACGAGAACTTAGTGTTGAGTCCGCTGCTGCGTTTGCCGCGCGCCGGGTAGAAGTCCTCCTGCGGCATGGACAGCGAGCGTAGAGAGTCCTTCTTCTCGCTCCTCAGCTTCTTGCCCCTGGACACCCAGAACTCCTGTTCTCGTGACGTGAGCCCGTCGAAGCCCCGTGGACCCTGGGAGATCCACAAGGCGTCCTCGTTGCCTCCATCCTCGGCGTCGCGACGGTTGAACATGACCCAGCGTGGCTCCTCGGCCGTGAGTGGCGCTCTGAGAGTCCCCGTGTCGGGACACAGCAGTTCGCGGCCCCGGTGAGCCCAGAACGGTGGCGCCACCTCCTCGGAGCCCCCGGTCAACATGGTCTCCAGCTCCTCGATGGCTCGTCCCCGGTTGGCCCAGAACGGCGGCGGCGTCTCCTCCGAGGATGTGGAGCTGCGGCGGCCCCGGGTCGGCCAGAAGTTGGGGTCTAGTTTGTCCATCATGGTCCGCACGTCACTCCGTGTCTGCCGCTCCGTCTATCACAAACATAAACTCATTAATCCCGACTCCATTTACACGGACTTCTATTGATCCGGATAGCCATATGACAGCATTTTGTAAAATGTCATACAGCTAAGTTATTCTTCAGTGTGTCAGTAGTTTACCGTTCATACAATTCAGAAGACATTATTTTTATTTTAAGTTTTTTTTCTGTAAAGGGCGATTTTGACCCTAATTTGAGAAGTATGAGTGTAGAATTGAGTGAAATTATTTTGTGTAGCTTTTTTACTCACTATGATCAGCCAGGATTATTTATTTAAAGCCCAGGGAACAGGGACAACTAGGTCCAGTTTCGAACCATCGAAAAACTTTTCGTCATACTGCATAAAAACAGCCGTTTTTAATGCATGAGTTGCGGGTCTAAAGTAGCATTTGTAAGCCCCTAGGGAGTAAAATTAGCTATTTTCAACTCAGTTGTAAACGATCCTATGTATCGAAAGTATGTATCGCTTGTTTAATCAATTAACATTATTTTTGCCTTATTGTAAATAGTTCGACATATCGATTATATAATGTACACTAACACGATTGTAAGAGACGAAACTGTCGAATCACTTACTAAACCGCTGCTTGTTTTGTTTCCATTAGCAAAATTAAATTTAAAACAAATTAGTAGTAGATTTTAGAGGTTATCTTTAAATTAAAACTGTTTTAGTTTTGTAATATAGTTTGTTCAAATAATGGTGACGAAAAAATTAGTTCATCACACGGGCAAAAAGTGTCTTTTCAACCCTCGCTCATTTTCCGACCTCGGTGAAGTCACTTTACGCCCTAGTGATGAAATATACTATTTAATTCAAAGGTTACCCAGACAGCTCTGGAATACCAATATTTTATTCAACACTGATTTCCATTTATCTGGACGACTTGGATCCCCAATTAATTCGGAAAAATGTGGGTTTAATTGACATACTGTACTTACGCCGATGAAATATTTTTCTCGACCATTGTTATTTAAAAATCATCCACAATATTTATGGGTTAATATTTTTGACCGATTGTAAAATTGTTAAAAGTATCAACGTTCTGAAATAGAAACAAGTACATATTTTTTCAAACAAAAGCAGTTCTTACTTAGTGGATTTTCAACGTGTATTTAATTCTAAACAACATAACTGTTTACATCACGACCTATACGTACACAGTAGGCCTACTAGCCGTGTATTTAGGGTCGTCTCGTCAGGTGATGTCGCTATTCACACAACATTAGGCTATTGTTGGAGACAGTGCCTTAATCCAGCCCTTACTGAACACAGCAGGTTAACCCTTAGTCTAAACTACGGTGTGAGGTGATGTATTGTGTTGATAGCCTGCTAAATGACCCGCTTCACGACTCAAGCCGCTGCCTACTGATTAAAATATCACTTTAATACAAAGTTCCAGGAATATGATGTTTTAGTCACATCGCTTAGAAAATAAAATATGTCTATGAAGTTTAAATTGAGAGAAATAGTTTTATATAGCACATCGTGTATTTCCTAATCTATGCTACTTCACCGCTTACTAACCTCTCCTAGCATTGGGTTCATTAGGAAAAATTTGCATTTTAAAGGTAATAATTTATAACCAGGATGCTCCCCAAACTCCAGTTAAATCTGCAGGTATACATTCATTACTGTTTTACATTCATTCGCATATAGTTCACACATTCATACATACAGTCCATGTACGTATTTGAGGTTTTATTGAGTTTGATTAAATAATTCTTAATGTTATTAAGTTAAGCTCAAAGTAAAAATTAGTCTTATACCATGGTAAAATGTCTGTACCATGGTAAAATGTAAAATTGTAAGTACAGGGTGAACACAAAACAAGTGAACAACTTTAATAAAAGATTACAGGAAAGTTAAACTACCTAGGAGAAAGTGAAATACACCATTAGAAAGCTAAGATTCTCAAGTTTTTCCCATATATTACAAGTGCTCAATATGGGATCCTCGGCTTATTTTACACACATGTATACTAAAACTAAATTCTGCCCAAACTTTTCCAAGAATGGTCTCATTGACACTTTGTATTGCAGTAGTAATGCGATTTCGGAGCTCCATAAGGTTCAATGGCAAAGGAGGAACAAAAACTTTGTCTTTCACATTCCCCACAAAAAAAGTCACAAGTGGACAAGGGTGGCAGACTGAGTTCTCTCTAATTCTAACACACAAAAAGACTTTTCTGAGAGCGTATTGACCATTTTTAAACAAATCAATAAATAACATCTTTTGTCACATGTTTGTATTGTTGACAGCAATCAGCTGTTTGAGACAAAACTTAAGGTGTTTTCCGACTCACTGGTACCAACCGCAGCGATGTCAGACCCGTAGTTTTCGATAAATTAATGTTCAAAGTTGTTCACTTCTTTTATGTTCACCCTGTATAATATTAAACTTTTTCTCTTTACTATGTTACATGTTATAAATATTAGAGATATGAACGAACATTTTTTTACCGTTCCAAACTAATTCATAACTGTAAATTTGTTGTTCACGATGATTCTTTTAAATTCCCACAACGCCTCAAATCAATGCAATTCATAGAAGCCAGTTGATATAGGGTATAATTGTAAATGGCAAGTGATGATGGCATTGTTCTTCAGTGTCCTGCCTCTCCCAATTGTCTGGTTTAGATTTATCAGGAATTATCCCATTAAAGGAGTCCCATGCCTGTGTAGGCGGACCACCCCACCATCCCTACTCTCTACTGTGTGATTTCAATACACCTGGAATGATTCCAATTGTTTCTTTCTTGAAATGTTTAAGCTATTTTGACCGTTCCCCCATACTTTAATTATATTTATTTGTTTTCTTTAACATAGTATATTTCTTAAATGTTTTGATTTATTTGTATTTAAGCTTAGGGAAAATTATAGTATACACTTTAGTCTTGGTTAGTTGTAGAATTAGTACAGTAAAAATATGTTTTGACCCAAAAAAAATTAGCACAACCGGGGAATTTGGTACAGATGTTGGGTGTACCTTCCTTTTGAACATACTAAAAGTCCCCTAAAATTGAAGCTGTGCTACGGCCGCCATATTGGAAAATGGCAGCATATTTCTGTATTTTTCGCTATAGTGACTTTATTATTAGAGATACAGGAAAAAGCTAAATATACAAAATGTAGGTCATCTAAAAATACACATTTTTTGTATTTACCATCTTTCTCTAAACCCAACGGTTTTTGAGTTATTTGTTATTAAGTATATTTAGTTTTTTCTATTTATCAAAAATAGGCGAAACACATGGAAATTGACCGTTACTTTCAAGGATTATGATAATTTATCCTATTTAGTTAAATAGTGTGATACTACAAAATCTTAAAATTTAAGCTTATTTTATGAGTAAAACAACTCTGCCACAGCAAACCTGCAGACTCAGCAAATTTCAATTTGATTGGATGTTTTATTAAAAAATGTATATAAATAAAATTAGGTTCAACAGGTACCTAGGTTTGCTGCTACAGGAAGGTTATTATAGTGTTTTTTTTAAATATCAATACCTTACTATAAAATAACTAATTTTCCAAGTTTGATCATAATAAATCTGTAAACAAACAAACTGCAACAGTTAACTAATTCATAAGAATAGCATGGGAGTTTTAAATTTACAATAAACAAATTTGAATGTAAAATTTTGGTTGTGTTTACTAAAAAGATGGCGGTTATTCGTCACGATTAGAATATTAACCAAATGGGTTTTCAAAAGGAGATGGAGCCTGTTATTTAAGTAATATTAATTCGTACCAAGCACCGAAAATATTGTATGCAGTAAGGTAATCTACCATATTTTGTAAAGTACGCAATAGTCATATTAATATTTTATCTTATTTTTTATCCATTTAATAGTTAACATTTTAGTATTTTGATGGCACCATTACACTAACTAACTATACTTGACATCTCATTGTAAATTTGGAAGGGTGTTTTTCGTGTCTAGTTCATGTTGGTGACTAATTAAGCATGGTATAGTTAGTTTTATTTATAAAAAATCGGTGAAACCCATCGCAATCGACGGTTACTTTCAAGGTTTACGACAATTATTCATCCCACTTAGTTGATATTAGAGTGATAGTGGTAGTGCCATCAAAATATTAAAATGTTAATTTATTAAATGGGTACAAATGAGTATAAAATATTAATATGACTATTGCGTAGTTTACAAAATATGGTTGATTTCCTCAATCCATACAATATTTCCGATACTTGGTACGAGTTAATATTACAGTACCTAAATTACTTGCTTCATCTCCTTTTGAAAACCCCTTCGGTTAGTATTCGAATCGTGACGAATAATCGCCATCTTTTTAGTAAACACAACCAAAATTTGTATCTTGAAATTTGTAAATTGTAAATCTTAAGCTACCATGCTATTATTATGAATTAGTTAACTGTTGCAGTTTGTTTGTTTATAGATTTATTATGATCAAACTTGGAAAATTAATTATTTTATACTAAGTTATTGATATTTTACTAAAAAAAACACACTATAATAATGTTACCTACCTGTAGCAGCAAACCTAGGTACCTGTTGAATCTGATTTTATTTAAATACAATTAATAAAACATCCAATCAAAAGGAAATTTGCTGAGTCTGCAGGTTTGCTGTGGCAGAGTTGTTTTACTCATAAAATAAGCTTAAATTTTAAGATTTTATAGTATCACACTATTTAACTAAATAGGATAAATTATCATAATCCTTGAAAGTAACGGACAATTTCCATGTGTTTCACCTATTTTTGATAAATAGAAAAAACTATCTATACTTAATAACAAATAACTCAAAAACCGTTGGGTTTAGAGAAAGATGGTAAATACAAAAAATGTGTATTTTTAGATGACCTACATTTTGTATATTTAGCTTTTACCTGTATCTCTAATAATAAAGTCACTATAGCGAAAAATACAGAAATATGCTGCTATTTTCCAATATGGCGGCCGTAGCACAGCTTCAATTTTAGGGGACTTTTAGTATGTTCAAAAGGAAGGTACACCCAACATCTGTACCAAATTCCCCGGTTGTGCTAATTTTTTTTTAGGTTTATGGAATTTTTCTCTTATTTTTACTGCACTAAATGGAGTTGCTTAAGTTATAATAGTTAAAGAATACAATTTTTTTTTCAAAAGAAGACAACTTTAAATAGCAGGAAAATAAAATGTTTCCAACAGAAGATAACTAGGGTATAAAACTATCAATAAAAGGTTAAATTACCTGTTTCCGCCGGTCGATCCTAATATATATTTAGTGTATATATATTTAGCCTATAAAACTAAAAAAAGAAACATAGAATGGAGAAGGAACATCATCATTTACCCTATGATGATGGTTGATGACTCGCTAATTTACAGTTTGTATGGCCAAATTAAATGGTTACGGTTATGTTACAACATCAAACCGATTTTACTAAAAGAGGTTAGTTCTTAAGTTACCGTACCTTTTTATTGTAATCAAGAGTATACCACTTTTACAAATAGTCCATTTAAATTTTGGAATGCCTTTGTACATCTAAGTCCAGTATGCTTGTGACATCTCTGTGTAACAAGTCTAGAATATATTTTCACTCATGGCTCATGATCAAGCGCCACAGGGTCATTATAACTACATTGCTATGCAATGATGAATTTCCTATATAGAGTTGATATTACCGAAATGATTCAAACGTATAAAACATGGGTAACTTCATCTACAATGAGGGTACATGTGGTGTGATTTTCAATTAGACCCATCGTAACTAGTGTACTTCTAGTTGTTGTACAATCAATGATGTGACTGTTAATGAGATATTCACAGTGAGTGTACCTATAGTTATAAATCTATCAATGAGATGTTCTTTGTCTTCAGTGAACTTATCTGTAATGACTAGACTGTTGAAACATATAGCATTCAGTAAGCATATAATGCAACTGTCTATGAGATGTACTGACTGCATCCACAATGAGTTCTGTATCTATGATGAGATGAGTGTACCTGTAGTGATGAGACGGCCAGCACCAGTATGAGGTCCAGCAGCAGTAGAGCTAACATGTCTGGCTAGCAAGTGACCACAGAGCGACTTACAACCCTTATATACCTACACTCGCCCTCCTGCCTCCTGCACTCAGGGAAATCACTCCTGACAGAGAGTCCCAGGTTGAATTAAATCTCGTTACACTCCCTGATTGTTGACTCTACTTCTCCCTGCCCAGTGCCCACCAACCGTTCAAATGGATTCTCTTGCTTATTTCAAGTTTCCATAAATATAATACTGAAGCTGGTTAATTTTTACTTTATACCCTATAAATAGTATATGGGGAAAGTGTTTTTTTTTTATGTTCGAGTTTGAGTTTTGGGAGGAAATATCCGTTTTTGCTCCCTCCTAAAACAAAAAATGTGGTTTTCAAAGTGGTTTATGTCTGTGTGCGTGTATTTGGAAATTTTAAGGTACGAGCCTTGGCGAGTGCCTTAAATACTTCTAAGAGTGTCGTTAAGACTATTACGCTAGTTGCGTACACTACTTTACCTAAGACCTTTATTTTACTTTATTTTAAGTACTAACAATCACTATACTCATAACTTCCAAGAGAGGTTATGTTTTTGTTTATCATTGCCTCTCATTGCCCCTGACAGTGATGCAATGACTCATTGTACCAACCACTAATCGCACCACTCATTAACAATTAAATTGGTCTTAACAGCTGATTAGTTGAAGTTCGAAGCATTACAATTCTCTTAATCCTTGAACCTCCTTGGTCCTTACTTGTGTTGTTAAGTCAAACAATGCTGTCAAGTTAACATTTCAATTCTAAGAACTGAACTAAAACTGCTGGTTTAAAAAACAGTCATAGGTAAAGATATTTTTGAATCTTGATTTTATGTTGGGCACTCCTTTAAAACTTACCCAAAACTTCCCAAGTATTTTGTTTAGCTTGCCAAATTTTTAAATGGTACAAATTTACAATAAAAATCGTGAAAGTGGATTTAAAAAAAAAAGAAAAATAAAGAAACTAAAAAACAAATTACTATTGTAACACCCAGAATATACACGTTAACACGTTGTTATAACCATCTATATTGGCCATAAAATAAAAAAAAAATATAAAAATGCTTCAGAGATATTAAACAATAGCCTACCTAGAAAACCTCGGTTCACAAAATTAAAATAAACTGTCCAATAAGTAAAGAGTTAAATAATATAGTAAGATATTAAAATGATCTTGCATCCCAGATGATCTTATCCATCCTCCAGTAATTCAATTATATTTTCAAAGGATACACTAATGAAAAATTAGGTGTATTTTTTGTAGCGATGAAGTTTAAAAAGTTTCATAAGGGACAATAACTTGAGCTGTTTAATTACATAGTTGATTGTTATGAACTTTAGTAATTAGAAGGAAATTGCTCCTTTATAATCTTATGAATGATTGAATGTAGCTGGATATAAATTATATTTGGTGATGAAATATTAATAAGAAAAATCCTAAAACTGTCAGTAATTATAGCAATATATTTGTTCTATATATATTCCAAACTCTTTTTTCAGGTTTAATTTCGAGTAGCAGGACTCATAAGATGGTAAGTTATTATAACGCTAAAATGTCTTAACTTTTATTTTAGCATAAAGGTACCGGGTATCTTAAAAATAAAATAATTTTACAGTTCTTGCCTCTTGCAAAATAAATAAAAATAAAATAAATGAAACAACAACATTCTCACTAAATGAATTTATCAATACATTGGTAAAGATTGTGTACAATCAAGACATACATCTATACAAGTATACATCTATAAATTACACATTTATTTTACCATCTCTAATCAAATGTAATTTTACATTTATAGAGGTTCCGGTTCTGTGGTGATGGCGACTGCCCGGATTGGATTCTTGTCCAGATAAATACACTTGCAAGAATGGTATGTCCTTTGATTTAATCATAGATTATATATAATAATCTGAATTTAATCGGCATCGGTTGCTTTTCTATAGAGTTTTTCAAGTTTAATCTATGCCTTAAAACTACCTTCTCTTAATTAGCTCTTAACTAAGTTCCCTTACACCTGAAAATTCACAAGTTGTTCACCACGTTTATATATTTTTTATTTGTTATTATTTTTTTATTTTTTACCTTAATCAACTTGATTTTTTGAGCAGAATATAGTGCTTTCCAGAGTCATGCTGATTTTAGTGGGCCAGTATTTATATAATATTTTATTTTTAATATTTTCAAGGGGATTAAATGACTTGTAAAGGCTTAAAAATGAGTTCTGTGTTTAATTTAAAAATTTAAGACATAAGGTTCAGTCATCCAAAAACTAGTCTGGTCTGGTTCCTTGTGTCGCTTAGGGATTTTAATGGGTTTATGTCCCACTGTGTCCCATCTTGCACCCAAGCATTATGTTATGATTGCAAATGTGTATAAAAATTAATTACCTTACTCTCAAAATTTAAATTTAAGTAATACTCTGATAACTTAATAAATTTGGAATATTTTTATTTGTAGTAATTTAGGTTGTTTAGCTCTCAATTGACTATCATTTACATGTAGAAAGTATTTCATCTTTAACAAAATCTTAATTAATAAAATCTTTTTAACGAATTTCCCTATAGGGAAGAAGCTATTACCGTAGGTGGCACAGTAAAATCTAGACTGAGGACCAAGTCAAAAATGGCAGACGTTCAAATATTTCTTTAATCTCACTCACAGTATAATAAGCATTGCAAATTCAAGGAATATTTGAACAGCTGTAATTTTTTACTCCATTGTCCGTTTGAGTTCTGGTTTGTGGCATTGTATTTTACTAACGGAGACCCTTAAATTTGATACCAAACTCAACCTATGCTGCTATTTAAGAATTTTGTCTGACTCCTTGTGGACCGTCCCTTATCCGGTCGTCGGTAATTGGGCAGATGTGTGCATTACTATCACCAGTAAGCCCTTGTAAACTTTGGTATTTTTCCAATTGTGGTCTAAAATTTAAAAATAGGTTTCAGACTTAATTGTCTTAATATCTTAATCTGACTTAATTGTTGTATCATGTATGTGTCTGTCAACGCGATAACTTGAGTAATTTTTGTTTGATTTTAATTAAATTTGGCTTGAATGTGTAGGGCAGGATCAACTTGAATAAGTTCGCGAGCCGGCATGACTGGACCATGGGAATGGGGTAATGTGGGGTTTTGAAATAAAAAAAAAAAAATTAAGTTTTTACCCTTAAATCATGGAAATGCCCAATTTTTATTATGACCATCATGAGAGCTTAAAAAACTATTTTGTGTATTGAAGTGTTGTTGTACAATTAAAGATTAGGGAGAAAATTAATAAATTTTTAATGGAGAAAAAGAAAACTATTGTAGTTTGCTTGCTTGTGGATATAATTTTATCACTTTTTAGCAGATTTATTTGTTTCATCCAATACTATTTTAACAATTTCATAACTTTTTATAGCTTCTAACCGTAACAAGACCATCATCAAATTTTTGTTTTGCAATAAGAGTGTTCAAAAGCTTCCCTACAAGCTTCTAGCATGGTGTTAGAAAAATTTTTATATTTTTTATACTGAGACTGCACAAGGGGTTATGCAGAATTGTTTCATCGTGGGAAATCTCTATATCAGTGTAAAGTACACACATTTCTGCTTTTATCATTTATATCCTGAGTGATAAATATTTATCAATTTCTTAGGGCCATGTCATACGAGCGCTATTGCCGTCGCGCAGATGCCGTCGAGATAGCGCCGGAAAAAGTACATGTCATACGTGACGGCAAATGCGTCGCGTTGATGCCGTCCCGCCAACGCCAGGTGCCTGTCATACGTAGCGTCTTCCGGGCGCATTTGCCGTCACGGCAATTATGTTTTACCAAGATGGACACCATCCAGTTAGGTTGTATCAGCTTTTTGCACATTTTAGATACATATGAAGAGTATTATTGTCATTATATGCTTCGCTTCATCAAATTATTTAAAAAAAATACACAAAAACAATATTTAGAGTTTATGACAGAAATCAAAGGAACAGCATTATTTTTATTTAAATATAAAACAAGAAATAGTATATTTCGTACCTAGGGCCGAAAATGAGGTTTTGCCGGCTTGAGATAGTAGCTGGAAAACCATTTCGGTCCGTGGTACGAACGCTATTTTTCACCACACTATACCCTATTACCACTATATTCACCACAACAATAATGCACACTGATAGTCAACAACACTACAACTTTATGGCTATGTGAAGAAATAATTTGAGGAATCAGCAAAAATAAAAATAAATAGTTGCTAGGCAACGGTGACAATAACACAATTCTATTGCAATGCTATGGATTTTGATTGAGTATTTAAAATGCATTAATGTTTTAAGTAAGTAAGCGGACAGCTGATTTTGCGGTTCCGGGCTGTAAAAACATGCTCGGTCCCCATATTACGATGACAGCTGGCATGGTCAGCAAAACGTAACTTTCAGCCACCGATTAACGTATATAATACAGCCAAAAACATCATAGTGTGGTGAAAAACTCTTTTTCAACAGCTGTCATCTGATTCCATTTTTCGTGCATGGCCTCCCCAACTTCGTTCCAGCACTGTGCCTTCAGTTGCCTGATGCTGTAATCACTCGACTTTACATCGTACCGAGGTGGCAGTTTTTCAACTAAATAAAGACATTTTTCCGTATTAAACATCGTATCAATTATCGTAATGATCACTCCAAAGATGTCCCAGTTGTTCTGACAGTGCTCGTGCTCACGCGGCAAATGCGTCCCGCTGGCGCTAGCGCTCGTATGACAGGGTCCCGCGTTACGTGCGCCGCGTCGCTAACGCGACCGTCCGCGTTGGCAGCGCTCAGCGTCCGGCTAACGCGGACTCGCCGACGGCATTAGCGTCCGTATGACATGCTCCATAAGAACCCCATTGCCGGGTTGGAGCGACGGCATCAGCGCGACGGCAAAAGCGCTCGTATGACATGGCCCTTATAAACATATATTTATTTTAGAGCTCAATTAAAATGAAGCTGTTGTGTCAAGTGGTTGCAGACAGTCTAGTGGAAGAGACTCCCTTGAATGTAAGTAGTTTTAAATAGTCATAATTAGCTTTAAATGTTTATTACCTTATACAACATGTATCTTGTGCAGATCCTCGATGCTTAGCTAAGCAAATAGAGCGAGAACAAATCTCTTTGTCATAGTTCATGTCTATTTCAGCGAATTTCCCTTTAGGGAAGTAGCTACCTATTACCTTAAACTGTACCTTAAATAGGTGGCACGGTAAGATTTTATATATAAATTTAAACGAATGGTGTTTTTGGCCTCTGGGGACATCAAAATGAAAAAGTAAATCGGTCCTGGGCCTAGATCTTACCGTGCCACCTACATTTATAGTTTTATTTCCATGTTATTTTTAAGGAGAATATTGTAATATGTTGTAGTTTGCTTGTTTATGGATATATTTTGATCAAACTTGGCAAATTTATTTATTTGATACAGTACTAAGCTATTATTACTTTACCAAAAAATACACTTTATTAGTTTCCTTGTAGCAGCAAACCTAGGTACTCGTTAAATCTAATGTTATTTAAATAGATTTAATTGAAAATCAATTCAGACAAAAAGAAAATCGCTTAGTTTGCAGGTTTGCTGCGGCAAGGGTATTTTATTGAAATGTTGATAGCTGTGTCGTCGGGAGCCCATAGTATCGCACCATCAAAATATATCCATTATCCATAAACAAGCAAACTACAACATATTACAATATTTGATCAAACTTGGAAAATTTATTTACCCTTATACTAAGCTATAATTTATTTTACAAAAAAACACACTTTGTTAGTTTCCCTGTAGCAGCAAACCTAGGTACTCGTTAAACCTAAATGTTAGTTTAATAGATATAATTGAAAATCTCTTCAGGCAAATGGAAATTCGCTTAGTCGGCAGTTTTGCTGTAGCGGGGGTAATTAATACATTTACTACTATCTAATTTGTATGCACTGAAAAGAGCGGGTTTGATCCTGGACATTAAAGCATTTTAATGGGAACCTCTAAAATTTTGTGGATTTTGATGCTTTGACACATAAAAATACCATTGAGAGTAGGGTACAGATTACTTAGGGGGAAGTTAAATCTCCCAACAAATGACAATGGGGTACCACTCGCACCTTCTTACACCTATACAGTAGAGTCCCGCAAACTCAGCGTAATGTGGACTGGAAGGGTGCCGAGTTTGTGAAATGCTGGGTTATCGGGAACTAGGGTTAAAAATAAGGACAATACATTTTTTAATCATTTTAGCTGCCTTATTTATTTATATTTATATTACAAGTCAGTATTAAGTCATCAGATATCGTACAATAAATCCTTGGTACGAGTTTTGAATGATTTGACTTGAGCCCATGTTTAACTCGGACTCAAAAAATCACTAATTTTCTGAGCCAGATGATGGCCGAGTTATCCAGACTACCGGGTTATCGAGTGCCGAGTTTGCGGGACTCTACTGTACAAGTTCATATGTGGCATCAGCATTATGGCCTTGGTGAAATTTGTAGAAAAATACTAGTAAAAAATGCCACCACAGTAAAAGTTAGATCATGTTTTTTAATGTTGTGTTTTAAAATAATGGTGTTAACTAGTTTGTCTTTATTGTTAACCAGATTTTTTCATTAAATTCAATTCAATCTATATAGTATACAACATTTCAGCACAAAGTTTTAGGTCTATGATTTTAATTAAGCCCAAATTAAATAATACAATAAAAACACCATTTAATTAAACTGCTGTATATGTCTTCAACTATTTTAAACCTATAAAGCATGACAAGGGTATTTAAAATAATTTTTGTTTGAATTTGCTTTAGGCCTACCCAAATATGCCCCAACCATTCTGTATAACAAAACCACTCAAAGGTAAATTCACACAATATGAATATCAGGTGTAGTTGAGTGAGTCACAATCATTTATCAACTAAAACAAGTTAAGCCACTAACAGGATCAGCTGCTTATGCATTTTTATTTATGTAATCAAGCTAAAATAACTGGCATTTCACCAGTGTGCACAATGAAGCGATGTTTGCCCAACTAATTCTGTCGCAGAGTGAGAACAATAATGCAACATGTTTACACCAAATTAATTGATCGCCAGAGCGACACTATCATTAATAGCTAATCGGTTTTTGCGGAGTTAAGGGAGATTATGGGAGATTGTTTTAATCTTTAGCTCGGTTAAAAAAAAATGCTTGTACAATATTAATAGAAAGATTTTGTTTTTGGTTGAATGCTTGTATTTGATTTACAATGCGTATATTTTTCAAACAAAGAAGAAGCTAATCTTCTTACATTGTTTAGCAAATTTCTGTAGGTGGCACGGAAAGACATAGTCCCAGGACCGATTTACTTTTCATTTTGATGTTCTCAGATGCCTAAAACACAATTCGTTCATATTTATTTGTATATATACAAATAGTAATAAAGTCATTATTAAAATAAATACGCAATTCGGTAGTTATATCTCATTACTCCTTCCGGAAACAGCTATTTATAATTTTTTTTAAATTTCTTGACATTGCCAAATACAATCTCATATTTCCAGCTTTGGGCCGACATAATGATATTTTCAATGGCTTTGTTAGAATCGGTTATATTCTATAAGGAAAATTATAGTTTTTTTACAGTAGAGTCCACCGTAAACAAACCTTTTAAATTCAACTTTTTGAAAATCAATAAAAGTGCGCCACAACATTGCTTAAGACATTTTTTATACATCCTTTTATAAACTGTCAATAGTATAAACAACTTTCCCACATTTTAAGTTTTAAAATGATAAACAAATGTGAATTTTAGCAGATCCACTTATGAAGGCATATTTACTGCGTTAAACATAATTTTAATTCATTTTTCATTAAATGTCAACAATTACCATAACACATTTAGTAGTGTATAATTTTTGTATCTAGTGAATCGTAATAATTGTATAATTAAGTACAGGGCATAAAAAACATGTTAGCCACTGTAACCCATAGCCTTAGTGGCTATGGGTGGTGCCGGCATACATTTATTAATTCACAGTAAAAATGTTATAATGTTATGATTCACATTTTAAATGTATTAAAAAGCTCCATTCATACTTGGCTTAAATTACCTACTTTGTATGGTCGCCATTTCATTGAAAAGTAAAGTATTAAAGTATAATTTAAAAAGTAATTAAAAATAAAATTTTTAAAATATTTTTTACAGTATTCTCAGCTTTTGTTAAGTAAACAAGTGATTAACATGCTTGAACTTGATTGAGCTATGATTTTGGCCCAAGAGGTTGTAAAGGGAGTCTTGGCCTGTTACAAAGTTCTAGAATATGTAATTAAGGGAGATTAACTTATATGGACTACTTACAGGCAAATATAATCAGAAAATGTGTTAAAAGATAAGTAGAAATGTGCCATTTTCACTTTGATTTATGCAAAAAAAAACCCCGGACCCCCCTTTTTGCTGGGCGGTGGAATACCCCAGTAAGTCCGGCCCACTGTCGCTCAGTGGAAATCCCTTAAAATATGCTCTGATTTAGTATACATCAACTAAACCTGTACATTGTATTGTAATCGTTAAGCACAGCTTTAACCACTTTAAAAACTATTTGTAATGCATTGAATACTGGATAAGAGTAGAGAATTTTATAAATACAAAGGTAAGTTATAATCAAATAAATACTGCACACATTTATATTGTAAATTATTTTAATAAAGATTTATTCAATGGGGCACATATTTTTTAGACAAGCTAAATTGTTAAACATTTTTTCTTGCTGCACACTATAACTTATATCAATTAGATTTAGATAAAACTCAAATAATAATATATCTAAGAAGTGTTCAGTGTAATTCTTTGGGTGTTTGTAAATTGGGCTATTTTAAGTGCGTTCTACTCCCACTTGGAGTATTTATTTGACCAAGAATGAATATAGCCAATTTTAACAGTTAACATTTTAACTGCTGACTGTACCATTGGGTACATCCCTGCCCAAAGACATAGTGTTATTATCAATGTTATTAGTCTACACTGGGCAGTTGTTCTTGTAGGCAGTTGGTTGTTGCGAGTGTTAGACTGAGGGCAGATTACATATGGAAGTGACAAGTAGCGTCTGCAAGGTAATCCAATCCCAACCAACGCCTTTGTACTGGCCAACAGATGGAATTACTGTAACACACTTACCTTTGCCACCGAATCACGGAAATACCTTACTTTAAACTTCTTTTCCAACCTTACACAAAACTTAAAATATACAACACATTTAGGACAATAAACCAGCAGTGTACCAATACAAGTACAATGCTTTATTGCCTTTCCAAGCGTATATGTAATAGTTTTCTATATATATATATTTTTGTTAATACCTCACTTAGTTATATTTCCAAAGATTACTACAACTGATTTTCATACTAACCAAAATGTTGCAAAAACTCAGACTTCTTACTCTTTGCAAGTCACTCCACAATGCCCACTCTAGCAGATATAAAACAATTTTACTTAGTAACTAACGTTAGCTGTATAAAGTAGAGTAAAAGAACTGTATAGTGGAAGTAAAAGTTTAAGTGTATCTTACAATCTTCTACTATTAATTTTATGCGATAGGATTATATGTGCCTTTTAGCGAATTTTCCATTTATAGGGAATAAGCTATTACCGTAGGTCTCATAGTAAGACCTGGACCCGGGACTGATTTACTTTTTTGTTTTGATGTCCCCAGAGGCCAAAAACACCATCTGTTCAAATTCATATATATATATATGTACATGTGTCCGTTAGCGCAATAACTCGAGCATAAATTATCCAATCTTGATGAAATTTGGTAAAAACTTGTAAACCTACGTTTATTCAAACGAGTTCGCGAACCAGCATGATCGGACTATGGGAACGGGGGTTTTTATGGGGTAAAAATTAGTTTTTCCTATTTTTGACTCTAAAAACATAAAATTTCACATTTGTAGAGTAAAAAAAAATTATATTGAAGCGTTGCTTAATGCCTAACGGTTAAGGAGATAAATAAAAAAACTTTAAATTTAAAATTCACATGTTATTCTTACGGAGAATAATAATAATAAACCGAATAAATGATTGTATCAATGATTATAGCATTACTCATAATATAAATAAGTGAATTCTACATATGTCATTTCATTTTCATCCAAAAGCTGAATTTGTATCGAAAACGCTGAATGTTTACAGCTGTTACGTTAAGCAAATGGTATTATACCAAAAGCTAGAGTAGAATGTTAGCGTCGGCTGCTAGACTTTTTAAAATTTAAAACTTGATTTCTAAAAAACTGAAACCCTAAACTAAAATTATGGCTTCGACATTCCCTAGTTCTTAGAATTATCTTTCTTTCAAGACAAAAATCATGAAAATCCGTCAAGTGGTTGATTCAGAATCGTGAAATAAAAAAAAAACACTGTCACGTATATATATATGATTTGACAATTTTCAGGGAATATTTTAGTAGAAATCCAGCCAGGTAAATGGAAATTTGCTTAGTCTCCAGGTTTGCTGCGGCGAGGGTATTCTCATTTTTGACCCTCAAAACATTTTCCCAACTTCTCCCTAAACCATTTTGAAGATCTTTAAAAAAGTATAATTTAGTAGCCTATATTGAAGTGTTTTTGTATGGTTACTGGTTATGGAGAAAATAAAATAATTGTTAATTTTAAATTCCCACGTTATTCTTATGGAGAATAAGTAAACTGTAGTAATTTGCTTGTTTATGAATATATTTTGATCACACTTGGCAAATTTATTTATTTTATACTAAGCTATTAATATTTTACTAAAAAAACACACTTTGTTACCCTCCCTGTTGCAGCAAACCTAGATACTTGTTAAACGTAATGTTATTGAAATGGATTTAATTGAAAAAGAAAAAAAAATGGAAATTTGCTTAGTCTGCAGGTTTGCTGCAGCAGGGGTAATTTTAGTTTTATTCTATAGATAGAGTACAGACTTTCCTTTTACATTCCAATATTACAAAAAGCATTTATAAAACAAATGTTAAAATGCAGCTTTTTATTTTGGTGATTGCTGCATTTAGTTCAGTGAACTAATTATTTAGCTGAACTGAACTATAAATGTAAATTGAAAACATTAATTTAAAAACAATATAGAGTAACATAATGGAAATGTTGAACATTGATATGAACAATGTTTATGCTTTTCCAACAAAATCTGGTTGAATAGAGCACACACTCCCCTGGGCTTGAAAGCTGCTTTGCCCAATACAAGCAAGAGTCTGTGAATAATCAATATCGATTGCTACTTTTCACTAACAAAGTATGTATAAGACACACTCAATAAGTAATGCAACAATTTAATTAATCAATGTTTTTCAGTATGAAAAAGTTAAGAAGCTGACTTCTGATGCTAAATTTGGTAAGTAGGTTGTATTATTTGTTCAACTGCCAAAGTACGGTAAGTTTTAGAGAATTTCCTATGTAGGGAATAAAGCCGGGTTTTCCTAGGCGCGTAGTCGGCCAGCGGAGAGAGGAACGCGGAGAGCGGACTCAGCTTGTCTTAGGTAATTTAATGTTACTGTTTTCCTAGCAGCGGAGCGGAATGCCATGTTAATTTCAATTCCGCTCTCCGCTGGCCGACTCCGCGTCTAGGAAAACCCAGCTTAAGCTATTAAAGTAGGTCTCATAGTAGACCTGGACCAGAGACTGATTTACTTTTTCGTTTTGATCAATGGTGTAGTCGTAAATTTTCCAGTGTGGGAATGCTCACCATTTTCACAGAATAATACAGGTTGCTTACCAATATATAGGTTCTTAGGAAAAAGCAGAGTGGAAACGCACCACTACACCACTAGTTTTTATGTCCTTGAGGCCAAAAACACCATCCGTTCGAATTTATATATATATATATATAAATTTGTCCGTTAGCACAATAACTCAAGCAAAAATTATCCGATATTTATGAAATTTGGTACAAACGTGTAAACCTACATCCAAACAAGTTCGTGAACCTGCGTGCTCAGACCATGGGAACAAGGTTTTATGGGTAAAAATTGGGTTTTCTCATTTTTTACTTTGAAAACCAGAAAATTCCCAATTTATCTCTATACTATTTTATATAGCATAAAAAACAAATAATTTAGTATCTTAGTGTTTTTGTACGGTATTGGTTATGGGGAAATTTCATAAAATTGTAAATTTAAATACTCCCATGTTTTTTTAAATAGAGAATTAGTAAACTGTTGTAGTTTGCTTGTTTATGGATATATTTTGATCAAACTTGGCAAATTTACATATTTTAAACTAAGCTATTAACATTTTCTAAAAAAACACACTTCATCCCCCTCCCTTTAGCAGCAAACCTAGATACTCAATAAAGGTAATGTTATTGAAATGGATTTAATTGAAAATCAAATCAGACAAATGAAAATTTGCTTAGTCTGCAGACTTGTTGCTGTGGGGGGGGGGGGGGTATTTTAAGTTCACTTAGAAATATGATTGCCAAAACAAATAATTTGAGGAAGTTTGTATTTTATTCAATATCTACTCAAACTCACTTACCAAATAGAAGCTTCATTATCTTGGAGATCAGTTAGTTAAAATCAATTTAAATGTTTCTGCATAAATATTATTTTTATTAATGTATCTATGTGTCAGTAAGTCCAAACCTTTTTTTTCCAACTACAATATATATAATATGTTGAGTAACATTGTTTATTGTCAGTTTTTAGCCGTTGTTGGTAGTTATTTGTGTATTTCCAATATAACCGTTTATCTTTCTTCCAAGAAAATATTACTGGTAATGATGTTTATCTGGTACTATTTGGGGATGTTGTGTTGTCCTTATGGTTATTATTGTAGCAAGTGGGGCTTAATTAAAACTTCACATATTAATATAACATACATTTATTAGGAGCTCTATTAAAGATTTTACAATTCGGTTCTAAGTCCATTTTGCAGAGAGCGAGTCTCCTTCTTAATCAAAGTGAGCTGGTGCTACCAGTGCTGCCAACATAGCACTTTCAAACTAAACTAACAAAACTTTACTATATATAACAAAACAACTCACAACACCTCCCCCTTAAATCTTTTATCCTCTAACCATAGATAAAACATACTCCCTTCTCTAACAATTTAACAAAGTTTCAAAGGTTCGGGTCCTACCGACTGCGCCATGTTGTGTTGTCCTTATGGTTATTATTGTAGCAAGTGGGGCTTAATTAAAACTTCACATATTAATATAACATACATTTATTAGGAGCTCTATTAAAGATTTTACAATTCGGTTCTAAGTCCATTTTGCAGAGAGCGAGTCTCCTTCTTAATCAAAGTGAGCTGGTGCTACCAGTGCTGCCAACATAGCACTTTCAAACTAAACTAACAAAACTTTACTATATATAACAAAACAACCCACAACAGGGGATAAACAATCTATGATATAGGTAGTCCTTTTAATTGCTTTGTAGTCGTTTAAACCGCTTCATAGTATGGTCACTGAGGTTTTAAAATGTTAATGGCGAGTTTGTTCCACACAATATCATTTACATCAGAGGAGATAGTGCGTGTTTATTTACTTCACTCTCATTCATGATTCACCTTACAAACGTACATACACTAACTGTGTGCGAAGCAATTGTTGAACATGTTGTGAGGAACTGGGACTTTTTCTCAATCTTATCCCACGACAGTAGCGAAAATAATTACCTTAATTCCAGGGAATACTTCTATGAAATGTCTAGGCCTTACCTTTGGCGTTTACCTTTGGTGGGTTGTGTGAGCTGGTTGACAACTATTCACATTTGTTTTGGAGGTTTATCGGAATGGTGAATTATAAGTCAAGTTTGGTGATGAACGTAATACCAAGATTTACACAATCCCTGTCTAGCAGGCACTTCGACATTTTAGATCCCGCAATCTCAACGTAATAAACCAAGGTGTAAACGGCGTAGCAGGTGTACAGACAAACAAAGGAAAAAGCAGGCAAAGAACGCCAACAAAAAGTATGGACAAACTCATCCTGATAGACATTCCCCAAAGATTCAATGGATGGTGAAAAATCCATCAGCAATGACATAAAATCTGAAAATAGACTATGAAGGAGATAGCTCGGTGGCGATAGGTACCAAGACGTTTAAATGCAAGTACTGCAAGGCCTTAAAATGAAGAGAAGAAACACCGGGCATGTGCTGCAACGGTGGTAAAGTGCAACTACTGTACTACTTTGCAGCACCTGCCTGAACTTTTATGCAGTCTGGTCATGGGCAACCACCCTGAGCATACACACTTTATGTACCGGGTGAGACATTATAATAACTGCTTTAATATGACATCGTCTGGAGCAAAACATGTTTTTTGCAATTAAACACTAATTTATAAAAAATTTAACCAACTTGCAAGTTTCCGTAGCGAAGCACGGGTATTCCGCTAGTCTAATTATAATTCTGATAAACTTTATTGCCTTACAATAAATATTTAACAATATATCTATAACAGGTGAAATTGATTGTAAAAAAATATTTAAAATTACAAAATCTTACAAGAACAACTTAACAATGCATGATTTTGATTTTAAATTATCATTGAATGTAAAGTAGAAATTAGGATCCAATATGTAACTAGTTTACATTATAATAGGCTTATTAACAAAAGATGTACAGCTTCAAAATGATTGTATTGATTGCATTTTCAAGTTTTAGAAAAATTTGCCAAGTTAGGGGCCAGAATCCGAATTTTCATATCATTTTACCTCTTGTAATGATTTTAAATTTGGCTTTTAAAAGCTGTATATTCCAACTATACCAAGGGTGTAGCTGACTTTCAGAAGTCTGTTAATTATGGCTTTTAGTTGTGGTGTCCATTAGTTCTAGGAGAGGTGTCTAGTTTTGTTGATTCTGTAGTGTATTCCTTTACTTTAGATGAGGACGAGGTGAAGGCAACAGTATCAGCTTTGACATACATTCTGACCAGTGCAGCCAAGTACGGTGTACCAGAGAACACCTTAACCCGTGAACTACAGCAGGTACGAGTAGCTTCTAGGCACTAATAATTGATCAATTGAGAAAAATGTGCAAATACTCAATGGCTGGATATTACATGTTTTGCTATTGTCTTGTTTTCCTACTGTCTGTATCATTTTAAATAAATGAAACGATATTTTTGCTTTGCTCTCAGGTAAAAGAAAAATTTCACGTAATATTGTAATTGTAGTTTTCATCACTGGGAGCGAAAGTGGCTCTTTTTGTTATGCAAAGGAAAATATGATTAAGTACCAAAAAGACACTTTCGCTCCGTTTGATGAACAACTATTATCATCATACTGTGAAAATAAGCTTCTAATCGTTATAAAATTAGACCACCTAATTTGAGGTTGTAAAAAGTCGTCATAAATGTTTACATTACTTTTTTTTACAGACATAACTATTACAAATATACAAACATAAATATTGTGTAGTTAGTAGCGTTTCCATAATTCACTGATAAAATTTTGAGGTTACCGAACCAAAAAATGCACCATAGGTTTTTTCTTTTTCCTATTTGAAGCTACCTGAAAATGGTGATTTTGCTGACGATTTAGAGAACTAAAAACGGCTGCTTTCAGGACAGTATGATGAAAAATATATTCTCTAATAAAATAAACAGTTGATTGCCATCCACGCCATCTAGGCTAGTAGAAATGAATCAAACATCAGTGCCATCGTCTCAATATGTTATTGCAAAAAACTAATTGCAATAGGGCCTACCAAAAAGGCAATATCAAGGTTTTTTTTATTGGGTGGTGAACTTATCCATCTATACTCATATAATAAGGGTTTCTCTCCATATCCCTCCTCCCTTGAAGGGTTTCTTTAAAATCTCTTTTCAGCCATCCAACCTAACCGATTATGTGTCATTTTAAAGCTTTTGATCTAGTGGATAGACAACTGGTAACTAAAATGGTAATTTCCTTTAGGGTTTTGCCCCCCTAGCGTTTGATATACTTCTAGAGGTTGATTTAGTGATTCTGACCCACTTTCTTTATAATGGTTTAATTGTGAACAGTTCCTATTAGTTGAATCCTTCTTACTATGCTTAATCAAAGCCAAATTGTAAACAAGAGACAAAATGGTTTATAAAATGGGGTTTAAATGAGTTACTATTTTGGTGATTTTAACCTGATTGAGGTAAGTAAATGACTTATTATGGTGTTTGAAAAGCAACATACTTAATTTACTGTGAATTAGTAGTTTTAATTAGCCTACCTAATAACTATCTCAAACAGACATAATCTCTGTAGAGTAAATGTGTATATCATTAAGTATTTGTTTTGTCTCAGACCCGAGTTGTGGACCCTATTAAACGCTAAATTTTCACACGGGTCCCCTCGTGAAGCATTTTGTTTATACTACAAGATTAAATAGGCAATATGTGGTTATTTTAACATAGTTTCTTGTCGCTGTTTGTTGGTACAGATAGGTTTTCCTCGGGAGCACGGGCAAGCATTGTGTCGTGTGTACAGTGAGCGTGAGGCAGCATTGACGTCTCGTCTGGTCCGTCAGAGTCTACGAACCTCACGACTGGTGGATGTTGCTACACAGAGACATGGGGCTCACTGTACTGTCACTCTCACCTACTTCAACAGTCAGACTGACCTAACACACAAACAAACCTTCACTGCCTCAGACTCCCAGATCACTACTCTTCTGTGTGGTATTATATACCTTGTACAGTAGTGTAATAGGCTATCTTGGTTATATAGGGGTAAGCTTGTTAGTACAGACATATAAAACCATAAAAAAAACTTTTTAAATTCGTCCCATATGAATAACATTAGAAGCTACCTTCTTCTTCTTTTTATTTGTTTACGTTTTGCGACCAACAATTTTTAAGACAGAGAGAACGACTTTTACTCTAAGCTCTTTCATTCATGGAGTAAACGGTTTGGGGTTTATGAATATATATCATTATAATTTCACAACTTTCAGAATAATAAATTGAACTTTACAATGTTAGTCGGCAGTTATATACCGTTTATTTTCAGTATTAAAATTCACCTTTACATTAAAAATATATTTGTATATATTTAGAACTAATAGTCCAGCATCTATAGGGGGTTGAGTATGCACTGAAAGTGTAAGTCTTTTTGACTTTTGATTGTTGTTGGGGGCATCTTGGAGATGACAAAAACCGATGTTGTCGCCCTCCCAGCAGGTGCACAACTTGGGGGGGAGGGGGGGAAGGTGCTCTGAGACGCGTTCTAGAAAATCGCTTATATCTCGTGAACTAGACACGATAGAAACAAGCTCTAAACGGCATTGTATTACCAACTTCATCTGCTTTAAAAAAGTATCCAGGAAAAGTCCAGTATTAATGATATTAGTTGAGTTATTTAACAATTTATTTAAAATTTTGAATAAAAACCCCAAAAAACGTAAAATTATCCATTAAAACCCCTTTAAAACAACACAAAGTACAGTTTTTCATTGTGCATTATATGTTTTACACGCTTAAGTGACTTTATATGGTAATTATATCGAAATATTACAAGGTTATGCGAGGTTTCCGATGAAGCGGCACGGTGACGCGGATGACGCCACTGCGCGGCAGAAATCAGCGTCTAGAACAGACTTATAAGCATTGGGTATGTACCGAAAGTGTAACGCATTTTGACTTTTGATTGTTGTTGGGGGCACCTTGGAGATGACAAAAACCGATGTTGTCGCCATTTCATCAGGTGCACAACTTCGTGGGAGGGGGGGGGGGAAGTAGCGCTGAGGTGCGTTCTAGAACATCGCTCATATCTCGTGAACTAGACACGATAGAAACATGTTTTAAACGGCATTGTATTATAAACCGCATCTGCTTTAAATATCATACAATAAAAAATCCCATATCAATGATCAAAATTGAGTTATTTAACATTTTATTTGAAATTACAAATTTAAAGTCAAAATACCGTTTATCTACCTAAAAAACTCTCATAAAACAATGAATAGTACTGTTTTTAGAGTGTATTCTATGTTCAACACACGAATTACAAAAAATTAAGTGTACTGCACTTTCCTTAAAATATTATGTACGGAGTTCTCGGGTTAGCGAGAAAATAATTATAAGCTGTTTTTAACACTAGGCTATTTTAAATATAAAATTTTTTAACAAAAATATAGGTACAAATACCAAAGAAAATACTTCAGTTTGAAATGTATACGGTTTTATTAAAAGAATATTAAAATAGACTTGGAAATGCTGTACTTCATTTTAAAACTTAACTATCATATAAACTACACATAAGAAAACAATGGATACAATTTCAGCCATATTGTTTGAAACGGTCTTAAAGATAAGGATTTCTACAATTTTTAAAACATTTGCAGTAGGATCTGCAGGATGACTTGTTTGAAAAGCAGCTACAAGTTGATCTAGAACAAGTCTTGCATTTACATGGCTTTAGCAAATTTGTAGGAGCCGGGGGCAGTGTCATAGGAAGGGGGCGCAATTTTCCTGAGCTGTTTTTGAAAAATCCGTACTGGAATAGATCTAAAGGCTCTATTTCTGCTGTCAAGGACTTTTTTCAAAAATATAATTGGGCACTACACCGTAACAGGTGTAATTTGAAGCTGTCCGGTGTGCAAGGCATTTTACTAATGTCCTTGACGGTAGATGGATAAGTTGTGATTGCTATATAGCGGCTGTCATTGCAGGTGCATCCTTTTCTTCTTAATCCTGCTGCTCCTACTGCAAATGTTTTAATAATTGTAAAAATCCTTATCATTAAGACCGTTTCAAACAAGATGACTGAAATAGTATCCATTGTTTTCTTATGTGTAGTTTACATGGTAGTAAGTTTTAAAATGAAGTACAGCATTTCCAAGTCTATTTTAATATTATTTTAGTAAAAACTGTATACATTTCAAACTTAAGCATTTTCTTTAGTAGTTGTACCTAGATTTTTGTTTAAATTTTATTTTTAAAATAGTATAGTGTTAAAAACAGCTTATAATTATTTTCTCGCAAACTCGAGAACACCGTACATATTATTTTGAGGAAAGTACAGTACGCTTACTTTTTTGTAATTCGTGTGTTGAACATAGAATGCAATCCAAACACAGTACTATTCATTGTTTTATGAGAGTTTTTTAGGTAGATAAACGGTATTTTGACTTTAAATTTGTAATTTCAAATAAAATGTTAAATAACTCAATTTTTATCATTGATATGGGATTTTTCATCGTATAATATTTAAAGCAGATGCGGTTTATAATACAATGCCGTTTAAAACATGCTTCTATCGGGTCTAGTTCACGAGATATGAGCGATGTTCTAGAACGCGCCTCAGCGCTACTTCCCCCCCCCCCCCCTCCCACGAAGTTGTGCACCTGATGAAATGGCGACAACATCGGTTTTTGTCATCTCCAAGGTGCCCCCAACAACAATCAAAAGTCAAAATGCGTTACACTTTCGGTACATACCCAATGCTTATAAGTCTGTACTACACTCTGATTTCTGCCGCGCAGTGGCGTCATCCGCGTCACCGTGCCGCTTCATCGGAAACCTCGCATAACCTTGTAATATTTCGATATAATTACCATATAAAGTCACTTTAGCGTGTAAAACGTATAATGCACGATGAAAAACTGTACTTTTTGTTGTTTTAAAGGGGTTTTAATGGATAATTTAACGTTTTTTAGGGGTTTTTATTCAAAATTTTAAATAAATTGTTAAATAACTCAACTAATATCATTAATACTGGACTTTTCCTGGATACTTTTTTAAAGCAGATGAAGTTGGTAATACAATGCCGTTTAGAGCTTGTTTCTATCGTGTCTAGTTCACGAGATATAAGCGATTTTCTAGAACGCGTCTCAGAGCACCTTCCCCCCCCTCCCCCCCAAGTTGTGCACCTGCTGGGAGGGCGACAACATCGGTTTTTGTCATCTCCAAGATGCCCCCAACAACAATCAAAAGTCAAAAAGACTTACACTTTCAGTGCATACTCAACCCCCTATAGATGCTGGACTATAAGCAGCTTTTTACATTATTCAATTTAATGTTGGCATTTAATAGTCAAAGATGTTAGTCTATTTTCATAACCAAAATGCTATGCGAAGGGAGGGAAACTGGCCCACGACGTAGGGAGTGGTAAAGGAAGTAAAAAGGTGAGCAGTGCAGAGTGTGGAAATAATGTATCTGTAATACTTAAATGCTATGTGAAGAGAGGGAAACAGGTCTACAATGTAGGAAGTAGTGAAGGAAGTATTCAAGGTGAGCGGTCCAGTGTGTGGGAAGCCTTTGTGGCAGTTATATTAATGTATCTGCAATTCTAAAATGCTATTGGAAGAGAGGGAAACAGGTCCACGATGTAGGAAGTGGTAAAGGCGAGAAGTTCTGAGTGTGGGAACAGTTTGTGGCAGTTAGATTAATGTACATGCAATACTAAAATGCTGAGGGACGGGAGGTAAACAGGTCCACGACGTAGGTCTAGTGTAGTTAGAAGTGGTAAATGCAAGCAGTGCGGAGTGTGGGAACCGTTTATGGGATTTAGATTAATTAGTTAGATAAACATATATTGGATTTCTAATCATTTTTAGGTGATGTAATAGCGCTTTTATTAGTATGTGTTACATATCAATACTATATTTTTAAGAAGACTCCTTTACACCGCTGTGGCAATTAGGTTAAGTTATATTAGTTCAGTTTGGCTAAGTTTTGTTTATGATAGGCCTCATAACAAATAAGGAAATAGGCTTCAAATAATCAAAAGACGTTTTGTACTGGAACAATGGATTTACCTCCTATCGATAAACCTAGTTCTAGGAAATGGTTAAAGACAAAAGTATTATTGGATGTAACATGCAATCTAGCATTATACTTGGATATATTGAGACATCCAATAACTAGAATACTTTATGTCTATTGTAATGTATTTTTATGTTGTTTTTTTTCAGATCTCAAGCTATGCAGTGAAAGACTTGAAACTTTGGAAAATGAACTGTGAAAATTTATGTTTGTTATTAACTGTGAAGCATATAAAAAATATTACAACAAATATTTTTCCATGTTTTGTTACATAGTACATATCTATCTCATTTTGTAATGCAATTATGTTAAATTTAGAGTATAGCTGTATGAGTATTTTGTTATTAAATTGTAATACATTTTCTCCACATAAAATAATTATTCTTCTTAACAGACCTGCTTTGGTTGTAAATTGCTGAGCGTTAAGTTATGTTAAGTTAATTTTAAGTTTATATACATAATGACCCACTTGTTTCAAAATTTTACACCAATAGACCATGACAAAATTTTATTAATCAGAATACAAGTCATAAAACATAAATATAAAATTTTCCTATTCATTATTATTGTTAGGAATGTTTCTAACAGACAATTAATTAACACAATACCTAGTTCAAATCACACATTTACAGTTTTCACTGTTAAATTCTTGTCCTTCATCTGATTGATTGGTGAGAACATGTATTATGTTCTTGACACTTCCCAACAAATAGTTTTTCTTACAAAATCAGCTCCCTTACTATCAGCCAGCAATTACTAGTAGGAAAATGCAAATGAAATGCTAAGTCACTTTGGATTGTAATAGTAGTAGGTTTGTTAAATTAGCTACTATAAATATTTGGTCTAAATCTTTATTGGCAAATTGTAAAGAGCAGTAAATTGGAGGATTTAGGATGTAATAAAAGAAATAAGTTTGTAAACAGGTTATTTAATAACAATAAAATATGCTAAATAAAAATTTACAAATAACATTTGACATGTACAAAAATACACTTTAGACTGTGCTATAAAAAAACGGCATCACGATAATTAATTTAAAAACAAAATTGTGCTCCATTCTAAGGTTTACCAACAAAACCAGTTAGTTGTGCAGTTTGTTGACATTTTAAGGGAGGCACTAGAAGAATACAAGGCTGAAAAATTAATTCCTTATTGTCATTTCCGAAAACGGAAAACTGATCTCTGTAGGTAATGTAGTTCTAACACTTATAATAGAATACTATTCAGTTTCTGAATGAATACTAAAGATACCAAAGTATTTTAATAGAACATTATTTTATAAAAAATAATATTCTACTGAAACGGTAAGTCCATTGTAAATTGTCTAGCAACTAGCAACCAAAGGTACAAACGGTTCTATCAGTTGTTTTTCTTCTTATCAAGCCTCATCTTCTGAAAAGACAAAATAGACAGGTAGTTTCCTGTTAAACATCCAATAAAAGCTTTTTATTTTATACAATGCATCAAAGAAAGCATATAAGGAGCTATACAAAAGACTGTTAAAGTGTAACTAAGAAAATCCTAAAAATAAAAAGAGTATAATTCTGCATAAAATATATATTGACTATATAGCCTAACTAATTTGACTAGAAACATGAAAATGAATTGGCACCTTTGATTTTCAATAGCCTTAATTTAAACCTTACTTGTCCTACCAAAACCTTCTACGTAAAATACTGTCACCCAAAACTGACACTACTGTATAGTAAACAGACTAAAAATTCTTTCCTGTATAAGGCTACAATAACACACATAGTCACCATGATAAACTCTTAATAGTGAAATGATGAATGCAGTTAAATGATTTTGTTTAAAAAAATAAGGCAAGACCTGTTTGGGAACAATCTCACCATGTTAAGTACAGTAGACTCTCAGTAATCCGGCAGCGGCAGATATAAGACCGTCATACTACCGGAATGTCATCAATGAAAACAAAAACAATTAAAATTCACAAAACACGTCTGCGAAGGTTGTGCAATCGGAAACCGATATTGCCACAATCGGGCATGAGAACAATGACGCTTCCATGACTGCGGAGCGATAATGTCCACACGACTCCGGGAAATGATCATGTTTTTTCCAACGATGACATTTCTATGACCCCGAGAGTTGATGATGATGTCTTCACAGCCGCGAGAGATAATTAGAATTTTGCGCCAACTGCGGAAGACCACACCAGTCAAAAGACGCTGGATTACTGGAGTACCAGAGTGGCGCAGTGCCGAATTATAGAGGGTATACTGTAATTGGTTTTTATCATTTTGAGATTCCACTTAATTGTTCACAACAATTACAATCAATAACCTAGAAACTAAAAACATGATTCATGAATAGTAGAACTCCTCATTTCCGTCAGGTGTGGGACCAAGCTGTGATTGGATCACAAGGTCAGATGATGAAAGCAGCAATAAAAGTTTTACATGAGTAAAAACCTCATTTACAATTAGACAAAATGCATTACTATAAAAACACACTTGGAAAATAAATGGAACACATGTTTTCATTTGAAATACAAATAATCCAGGGACTTGTGTTGAGACTTATTCAGCCTGACGTACAGGCATGGAACAAGACAGTCTCCACAGTCAATTATCCCGAGGTATAGGAGGTTCTACCATACATGGATACAAAAACCATAATGACCAATGTTCAACATTTATCATCTTATTGGTGATGTGTCAAAGCAAATTATCGGATCTCAAATCCACCAAATCTTCCTGCTTCTTAAATGAGGTTTAAAAAACTTCAGTTTAATTTACAAGGGTAAATTGCAACAAAATGTAATCAAGGAAAAAGGTCACACAAGTTTTGGTGTTGGATGATTCAGTTGTGTGAAACGATTTAAGTAATAGAATTGATTTCATATAAAAGTAAACAGCAGTAGGAATAGGAATTAATTTTCACACTTTTTCCTTAGTTATAGGGTACATTACAACAATTTTACTTGGATTGGAGACAAGAGTTTATTGTTTAAGATTCCAAATAAAATTCAAGATTTGAAATTTAATTTGACAATCACTGCACTACATCTTAATAACCAACTTCTAAGCACTAATATTTTTTCTACAAAAACCTCCAACAAATCTCCAATACAGGATAGCTGACAAGGAATATTTTAATAAATCTATTATCAACTTCATATCAATAACTTATGTCCATTTAATGTAGGGGACATATCAGCTTTTGCATCACTATAATGTTATTATTGATCTATTTAACCATTATCTATAATGGTATTTATCTAGAAAGTATTTAAAAACTCACAATAATGTTGTTTCGAGCGTAAAACTGTTACAAACTTAACCAATCACACTATACTGGTTGCTTATTAGGGTTTTTTTTGTTTTGTTTTAAGTAATGCATTTTAACTATCTTAACCTTAGTAGCTTTTTAAATTGTTATTTGTGCAACTAGTGAGCAAAGTGAGCAATTGCCTCACTCGAGAGAAATCCTTACACACGAGCCGTAGGCGAGTGAGAAATGGTTTCTTGAGTGAGGCAATTGCACTTTGCACTCGAGTTGCACATTATATTTTTCCTACAGTTACCATAAAACAAATAAATTTGTAAAGAAACTGGCAAATCAATGAAATGGTGGCTTCCGCCGTGACCGGAAGAGTTGTGAAAAATACAACAGTACAACAGCTGACCAGCTGATTTACAGCCAGTGCTGCCAACGCATTTTGCGCACATACGACCTTGTCTGCAAGTTACGCGCTCACTATTTCGTGCCTTCACATTGCAAATCTGGAGTGAGACAAAGTAATTAGATTGAGACAATGTTAACATTGTCTCACTGATGAATTGGCCACTTTGCTTTCTCAAATCAGTGAGAGAACATGTACATTGTTAGGTAACTGTAGGAAAACTTATATAAACAAGGGAATTCTCCTACAACTCTAGATAATCGAAATACTGCCATAGACTTGAATGGCTTTTAAGCCCCCATACACGGGCGAGCGTGTTCGTGAGCCTATTGGTGGACACGCTCGTGAAAATGCTCGGCGTTTCCAACAGACGGTCAAGCATGCTCACGAACTTGCTTGCCGCCACTGCAAAGTACTCACCTCTCTGGTGCTTTGACAGTCCGACGAGCCAAGCGCCGATCCCAACATGCTCGCCGGTACGAAGGCTTGCAGACCCCTTTGAGCCTCCTTGGCGAGCATGTTCGCTGCCAACACCGTCACGAACATGCTCGCGAACATGTTTGCCCGTTTATGGGGGGCTTAAGTGTGACATTATGTAAACAAAATAGATTCACTATCACATATTCTAGTGCAGACCAAGCTGCTGCTGTTTTTGAATCCCCTTATTATTCATAATGTTTTACATTGACCTCAATTAGTTTTACCTATTTTTTTATATCATCATAATTAACTGAAAATTTAAAACTATTTAAACTAATACCTGAATTTTTCTTAAAACTTTAACTTATAAAATTTGGTATATAGACTTTTTTAATCACAGATTATATCCTTTACAATCTTTGCATTATTTCCACGACCATCAGTCTACAATATATTTGTTATTTATTTGTAGCCGTAGCCTACACATTTAGGTTTAATACACTATTTTGACTATGTTAGCTCTGAAGTGATTACATTTTCTGACTCACTTGTCTTTATACAGTAGACTACATGAAATAGAGCTGTGATTGAGTCGTTTTCATGTATGCCAATACCTCAAAATCAAAATTCAGTACGGTAGTATTCCAATTTCCAACAGAAATGTTTCTGATCCTCTTAATTTGGTTGAATGGAAGAATTGCAATGACATTTATGTGATTCTAATTTCTAAGTTAGCTAGCTTATGTCACAAAAGTTTACCAAATGTCTCCATGGCAAAGTCGTAAGTCGCAAAGCTGGTACCTACAGCTATCGGACCCTTGATCCAGTTCATGCTCAGGCCTTTGAAGAATCCTCCCTTGATGCCTTCCTCCCTAATAACAAACCTGATTAATGATATATAAAAAAAATTCAAAAGGCATTCAAAAAGGCCCAGTTGTTAGCCAATACCTTTTGTAGTATACAGGAAGTCTTGGACTGTAATCTAAGTATTATTAGTTTTAGTTAATTAGCTGAGATATTCAAATCTTTGAAATTACTAACATGATCTTCTGTATTTTTTTTATATTTAATGGTCTGATAAATATTGTCCAATGTCAATAGAAGAAGTTTACCTAAATATGTGACGGAAGGTTTTGGTGATAGTTCTATACTTCTTCTCAGTGCCCACGACAGCGGCTGTCTGCATTCTTCTTCTCACAATGTCCAGAGGATAAGATGTGGTCTGAGCCACCATCCCAGACACACCTCCAGCCAACAGGTTGAACAGACTACTTGGAGCGTGGTTGTTCTCTACAAAACAATAAGAACAGTTTTTTTTTTTTTAGGAAAAAGTACTTACGGAATACTGGATACCCAGCCAACTTACCCAAGAAAAAAGATCCAGGCAGTTGCCAGCACACGAGTTTACAGCACAATTAATTTGATTTTCACCCTTAAAAGGGGGCTTCTTATAGAAAGGTTGTACATTGATACTTGCACAAAAATTCACTCTCTCTCAATTTTCATAAATGCTTATACTTAGTAAATATTAAAGCTGAGGTGCACAAAATCTAAGCTTATTCATCTTAAGTAAAAATATATTAAACATTGAAATACGCTAATCTATCAAGCTTTGTGCAACAATCAACATTGCACCACTTTCGTGTGAAGTAAAAAAAATCTCATTTCATGTATTATTACTATTTTAAATACTAGAAGAACATTGTTTATACAATGTTTATTATTCTTATAATAATAACTAACTTATAATAAGCCTAATAATAACTATTAATTTATTACTTATTACTTTTCTGTGCTGATAATATCACATCCATGACTTTCTCTATTAAATACCTTGGAACAAATTTATTTTTATTTTTGAAAGCTCAATACATTACATTTCTATGTTATTTTCTTGCCAATATGAACTTTGAAATAGAATTTTGCTGAGGTTATTTAAAATTTACTGAACCTAGCATCAAGAAAAACGTTGACATTTGTTATTGTTTCTATTGTTTATACGAGGCATGTTTTTAAGTAAGTACCGCTTTTAAATTTCTCCATTCCAGCGCTGAGATTGGCATTTTTGACATTTGTGCTGTGTATGTGCATCTATTGGCAAGCCTGCGCCGGAAATTCGGCAACAATCGGCTGTGTTTACATCCGGTTTCAAGCATTCGGAATGGCGCCGCCAATTGAGACTGCTGCTGACTGTGAAGTGCACCCTGTAATTAGATTTTTAAATGCTAAAGGTGTGAAAGCCATTGAAATTCATCAACAGGTTAGTGAAGTGTATGGCGAGAACATTATGAGTGACGGAATGGTACGCAAGTGGGTAAGGGCATTTAAAGACGGCCGCACCAACGTTCATGATGAGCAACGCACCAATTCATCAGTAATGACAGATGGACGGCGACCGCCCAGTGTGTTGCTCATCATGAACGTTGGTGCCAATAAAATGCCAATCACAGTGCTGGAACGGAGAAATTTAAAAACGGTACTTACTTAAAAAACTTGCTTCGTACATTCAGAGACTTTCCCTGAATTTTAATCTGTTTAAATTTGTAAGCTACTAGGGATTTATACATAATTTTAAATTTATTTGTGTACACTTGTTTTTTCCATGTGTGGCAAAAAACTCCATTGTCATGAACACTTGAGAATCGGGACTAATATGAACTACTGTGTCAGCAACCGACCTACAAACAGACCACTTTTTGGAAGGTAGTGGGTACTTTCAGCAACATAAGCCATTTAATTATGTTCATACTAATGTTTAAAAATCTCACTACCACTCAAATGTGTTTTACATACATAAATAAGCCATATCATCCAAAGGAAAAAAACAAACCTCTGTACCATCGTTTTAAAGTTCCATAGGTAAAAAAGCTTGTTCCTGCATAAGGTATAACTCCAAGAATGGTTGGAACATAGCCCCTAAACATTGCTTTCAGCCCTTCATCTCGGTGAATCCTTACAAAAACCTGTAATGAAATAATAACAACCATTATTGAAAATGTTGAATAAAAGAATAAAAAAGTGCTTTACTGTTGCTTTTGTTTTTACATTCACAGATACCATGCAGGGTATCAGCCTAACTAAACACTTTAGGCATTGGCCGGAAGAGCCGTTGGCCAGGTTGGCAACACAATTTATTGCTATTTTCGTCGAGCGATGTTCTTCTAGAATGATGCAAAAGTTTTGTTGTCATTGAATATATTAGGTTGTATGTTAAGGGAAAACCAAAAGGCTAAAAAGGAGTTATTTTAAGGGGCTCGACTAGCTTATAAAAAAAAAAAAACCACACTATGATTTAGTCCTACACAAGGACAAAATGTCAGTCCTATCTCTGAGACTTTTTACTACATCTGTGAGCCACTTAACTTACATTTTCTCATCTTAACTAGCTAAATTGTTCATGTTAACTAAAAAAAAAACCTTAAGGTATAGAAAGTAAAGTTTTATAGAGAGTATCTTTGCTTTGCCAGAAAACGCACCCCTTACATTGTTGTCAACACAATATTGAAAATACAATAGCAAAATAGAACACAATTAGGATTTTTTTAACTTAGCATTACTAGTTTTATATTGGATGACATTAACATCATAGTTGTAGGCCTAAATGAAATTAAAGTAATGGAATGAAATGAATGAAATGAATGAAATGAATGAAATGAATGAAATGAATGAAATGAATGAAATGAATGAAATGAATGAAATGAATGAAATGAATGAAATGAATGAAATGAATGAAATGAATGAAAAGAATGAAACGAATGAAATGAATGAACACCAAATGTGGAGTGTAATCCGCTTTTTGAATGTTCAAGAAGGCCCCCTTTTTTAATGAATGCCCATTGAAATTTATAGGCAAATTAAAGCTGTTTATGGTGAAGATGCAACGATTGATCATCATTTAGAAAGTGATGGTACAGTGGAACCTTAATAACAAGTGTCATTTTCTTATCCCCTTGAATTAATTTGACCCCTAATTACATATGTAATTATACACCTTGATAAGAAGTCAACCTTGATAACAAGTCTTGTTTTACAATCCCCTTGAGAGTCTTGTTATCGAGGTTCTACTGTATCATGTTTAACCAAGGAAGGACTAGTGTGCATAATGAAGGTCGGGGCGGGAGCCATCAATAGTCACAGATAAACTAAAGCAAAAGTTGAAGAAACAATTCAGTAAAATTTACGTTTCACTTTGATGACTTTCCACAAATTTCACGATTACTTCTATAGTGACGGATCATCATGGTTACAAGAAAGTGTGTGCTCGGTGGGTGGCTTACATTTTGACGGACGACCATATGGCGAAACGCATAGTGGCAGCCCTTGAATTTTTGACACAATATGACAAAGATGGAGACCAATTTCTTGATCGTATTGTTATGGGAGATGAAACATGGGTTTTGTATAAGACTCCAGAAAACAAGCGTCAGTTAATGAAATGGCATTACACAAATTCGTTCTCAAACCCAAAAAGAAAAACCATTTTTGCAGACTTGCAAAGTCATGGCAACAATTTTTTGGGAGCAAAAGGGATTAATCCATGTGGACTTATACCACGAGGTGCAACAATAAAGTCAAAATCCTTCAACGACTTTGTCACGCCATCCAAATCAAGAGTTGTGGAATGCTGGCAGCTAATTTTTTTTTTATTCATTACCATTCCCAGCATCATGTCTTAGCTTTTAACATGGCAAGAATTCCAAAGACTGGAGTGGGAAATCTTTAGTCATCCTCCATACAGCCCTGACCTAGCACCCGTTTCCAAAATTGAAGGAATTTTTGAGTGGAAACCAGTATGGAAATGAGAATAATTTTAAAGAAGCAGTGATAATATGGCTCAAATCTTTCACGGCTGATGAGTACTTTGGAGGAATAGAGAAACCGATTTCACCGGTTCCACATTACAACAAGTGTCTAGACAACAATGGGGATTACGTAGAAAAGTAGAATAATGTACTGTGGCTGTGTAGATAAAGTTTGGTGTTGATATCTTTTGTTTTTATTTAACCATTGTGCCGATTTTTAAATCAAAAGATTTAAAATCCGCGACAGGCAATGGACAAGTCAGTCCAACATGACGTAACGCGGAAGGATACGAACGAAGACCGGGGAACCGCGTCGTCTGCAAAGCGTCTCGTCGTCCTCGTCACTCGTGGCTCAGTACTCGCGTAGTCAACATGTGAAGTCGCGTTATGTCGCTGGTGTAGGACGAATTTATTAATATCTTAACTCGTAGCTCGGAAATTAGCGTTCGGGCGGAAATTGTACGTGCATCAAACGATCGCAATTGTCAAAATTTCGCCGAATTGCATTTGGGGGTGTGTTTTATTAGTATTAAGTCGAGAAAGTTGAGATGCCGGATTGATTGTTCGCGTTCGTGATGAAAATTCGTACATGCATCATATCGATAGCAAATGTCAGTTTCTAGCGAATAGCGGGTCGTCGTGAAGGTATTTTCAATTGAATCATTTAACGCCAGCTCGAAAAAACAAGAATTAATAAGTCCTACACCAGAAAAAACCGTGTCGTGATATTCCGCTCGGTCAGACAAAAGTCAAAATTACCACGAGTCAGTTTTTAAATGTTCGGTACGCGTGAATCTTCGTCGGAATGAATGTTAATGTGTCGACATGTGTACGTAAGTAAATGTTTGTGTTATTTGTGTTTTAGTATTAAAATAGTCTTGCCAATCTGCCACATTTTTTCACATGTACCACTCGTTTTACAAGTTATGAATCATGTTTTGTTTGGTCTGAGATTTTCATGTTTCATTTGGTCTACTTAGAGCACATGGTCACGATTCAGGATAAAATGTTTTATTAAATTTGGTCATGTCATACAAAGAATTTAAGTTATAATAGTGAACCTAGTCAAATGAAAATTATTTATTAAATTGAATTGAAATGGTATATTAATTTAAAGAGCAATGTTTATCTGTGATATTATTATTTTTGTATTCTATGTAAAGTCAGATTCTATCATCATCAGTATTATTATTTAAAACGTTTGAATTTCATGTGTAGAATAATTTTTGAACAGTATTACATTTTTTAATAGTGAGAGTTTGATTGTGTAACGTAAATGGGGGTAACAGAGTGCTCGGTCGAAGGCTAGGGTTGATAAAGGGTCATGAGGATAGACTCCCATTAAATTCATAAATATTAAATACTAAATAAAAATTATCAAATAATCGACTCAGCAGTCGATTGGCCCCGTTGCACTGATCAGCAAGGAGTGATGTAGATCACAAACCTACATAATAGTCCCTGTTTGATTAAATTGTAAACTGGCCAGTTTGATAATTACGAACATCTTTGGGGAGTCTGGTGATCCAAAACAAATAAATAAAATTATCAAGGCTAGGTCATCCCGAGACTTTGTAGTTTCAAAATGTGGCAAACCACCAAAGCTTACAATCAACTCTCTCACTCTCTCACTCTCTCTCAAACCGTTAATTATTGTGCACAAAATGTAACTGCATTATTTATGTTTAATTTGTATCACAGCTCAATTCTGATTCATTATACAGTGTTTTTACAAAAATCCATCTTATCATTATCCTGTGTTTCAGCTGTTAGTATCATTAGTATAAAACTGGTAAAGTAAAAAGGTAAATGGCTTAACTGGAAGAGGTATACAAAGTATTCACAATGAGTGTTGATGATCACATTTTGTAAATATATTTTGACAGTGCAATTTTTATAAGCTCAGTTCATAATGTTTAATGTTAAATTGGTGAATTCATGAGCAATCGGCTTAACCGAATCCAGTATATATAAATATCTTGAAGCCATACTTTGATATATATTTCCTGAACAAACAGTTTCACAAATATTTTCAATCAATATTTCAATATTATTATTTGCAATTTTACAGTTTTACAGAGTATCAATTCATATCACAATCTTTCATCAGAACAGCACATTTAAATTCATGGAGTGTTCAAATAGACACATCTATTAGTTTTAAGAAGTGTTAGAATTAAGCTGAAGAAGGTGTGAAGGAGGACAACATATCAGACCTCTCACGGTCCATAAATCGGACTTCTGGGATATTTAATTACAGGGCCCACACTTAACATCTTTATTTCCACTGCGCAGCTCTGTGATTGTAATGTCCTCAGTAGTTCAATTAAAATTAAATTAAATTCATTAAAACCCCACCAGGGGGCAACTTTTTGTTATACTCACACCTGTATGAAATACCTAAATTGTATTACATATAGGTGAGAGGTGATTTTGCTTGATGGAATGATCAATTAAGTATAGAGTATATTTTGAATATAAGTGAAGAATTTCTTTTTTTCTTTACAAAAAGCGATAGCACTAATTTGAGAGGTCTGGTAACAAGGAAGCAGATTGGCATTACTACCAAGGCAGGTTGGCATTGATAAGGGTATCAGTTGTTATCTCTAAGGCAATTATCCACATTGATATTTCTGTGTTTGTTTACTTGTTTATTTATTTGTGTCATATTCGTACAGAGATTATTTATATTTATATTTACATTTATATTTACATGTGCAATAGTTTTCAATTTTGAGTAAATAGAGTCAAACTGAGGTCAATTGTTTTAAACATTTTCATAATCACATATTTTGAGAAACAATGAATCATCTGAGTCATGTTATGTAACCACTGTGAGCGACATGAAGGCTGGCCAACAGAGGTCACGTTCCAGCTGTGGTGGGGCGAGAGTAGAACCTACCCGCACAGACAGGCAGACATCGGGCCGTTCACTACAACAATGTCCCCCGCCCCCGCCCACTCCATCGGCAACAGCTGACTGTCGACTGCGCTACGGGTCAATGAACTGATTGTTGACATCTACTCAACGCTGAATGCTAGATAATTCTACAGTGTGTTAAGCGTGCGCGTTTACACCATTCAAATTGTTGATGGATTGATGCAGTTTTGGTTTATGACACAATGTGTCAGTTGACAACAAATTTTTATTTCTCAAATACCGACCTCAAAGCAAATTTTTATTATTGTTAAAGTTTCAGAGTTTATATTTTTGTTATTCAAATTTCAAATGTTTATGTGTAAAATTGTTTCGTGTTAAATGTATTAAATGTAAATCAATGGGAAAATGAACAAAAAAATGTGTCGTATGAATGAAGCGTCTGTTGCCACGTCAAGCGTCGTCGCGCCGGGTCGAAATTGTCCCGGGATGGAAAAGGCCTTCGTGCGGACCTGAAGGTCGCTCGGGCCAATTTTTTTGGCAGGGGAGATTTCTGTGCCGATTTTTAAATCAAAAGATTTAAAATCCGCGACAGGCAATGGACAAGTCAGTCCAACATGACGTAACGCGGAAGGATACGAACGAAGACCGGGGAACCGCGTCGTCTGCAAAGCGTCTCGTCGTCCTCGTCACTCGTGGCTCAGTACTCGCGTAGTCAACATGTGAAGTCGCGTTATGTCGCTGGTGTAGGACGAATTTATTAATATCTTAACTCGTAGCTCGGAAATTAGCGTTCGGGCGGAAATTGTACGTGCATCAAACGATCGCAATTGTCAAAATTTCGCCGAATTGCATTTGGGGGTGTGTTTTATTAGTATTAAGTCGAGAAAGTTGAGATGCCGGATTGATTGTTCGCGTTCGTGATGAAAATTCGTACATGCATCATATCGATAGCAAATGTCAGTTTCTAGCGAATAGCGGGTCGTCGTGAAGGTATTTTCAATTGAATCATTTAACGCCAGCTCGAAAAAACAAGAATTAATAAGTCCTACACCAGAAAAAACCGTGTCGTGATATTCCGCTCGGTCAGACAAAAGTCAAAATTACCACGAGTCAGTTTTTAAATGTTCGGTACGCGTGAATCTTCGTCGGAATGAATGTTAATGTGTCGACATGTGTACGTAAGTAAATGTTTGTGTTATTTGTGTTTTAGTATTAAAATAGTCTTGCCAATCTGCCACATTTTTTCACATGTACCACTCGTTTTACAAGTTATGAATCATGTTTTGTTTGGTCTGAGATTTTCATGTTTCATTTGGTCTACTTAGAGCACATGGTCACGATTCAGGATAAAATGTTTTATTAAATTTGGTCATGTCATACAAAGAATTTAAGTTATAATAGTGAACCTAGTCAAATGAAAATTATTTATTAAATTGAATTGAAATGGTATATTAATTTAAAGAGCAATGTTTATCTGTGATATTATTATTTTTGTATTCTATGTAAAGTCAGATTCTATCATCATCAGTATTATTATTTAAAACGTTTGAATTTCATGTGTAGAATAATTTTTGAACAGTATTACATTTTTTAATAGTGAGAGTTTGATTGTGTAACGTAAATGGGGGTAACAGAGTGCTCGGTCGAAGGCTAGGGTTGATAAAGGGTCATGAGGATAGACTCCCATTAAATTCATAAATATTAAATACTAAATAAAAATTATCAAATAATCGACTCAGCAGTCGATTGGCCCCGTTGCACTGATCAGCAAGGAGTGATGTAGATCACAAACCTACATAATAGTCCCTGTTTGATTAAATTGTAAACTGGCCAGTTTGATAATTACGAACATCTTTGGGGAGTCTGGTGATCCAAAACAAATAAATAAAATTATCAAGGCTAGGTCATCCCGAGACTTTGTAGTTTCAAAATGTGGCAAACCACCAAAGCTTACAATCAACTCTCTCACTCTCTCTCAAACCGTTAATTATTGTGCACAAAATGTAACTGCATTATTTATGTTTAATTTGTATCACAGCTCAATTCTGATTCATTATACAGTGTTTTTACAAAAATCCATCTTATCATTATCCTGTGTTTCAGCTGTTAGTATCATTAGTATAAAACTGGTAAAGTAAAAAGGTAAATGGCTTAACTGGAAGAGGTATACAAAGTATTCACAATGAGTGTTGATGATCACATTTTGTAAATATATTTTGACAGTGCAATTTTTATAAGCTCAGTTCATAATGTTTAATGTTAAATTGGTGAATTCATGAGCAATCGGCTTAACCGAATCCAGTATATATAAATATCTTGAAGCCATACTTTGATATATATTTCCTGAACAAACAGTTTCACAAATATTTTCAATCAATATTTCAATATTATTATTTGCAATTTTACAGTTTTACAGAGTATCAATTCATATCACAATCTTTCATCAGAACAGCACATTTAAATTCATGGAGTGTTCAAATAGACACATCTATTAGTTTTAAGAAGTGTTAGAATTAAGCTGAAGAAGGTGTGAAGGAGGACAACATATCAGACCTCTCACGGTCCATAAATCGGACTTCTGGGATATTTAATTACAGGGCCCACACTTAACATCTTTATTTCCACTGCGCAGCTCTGTGATTGTAATGTCCTCAGTAGTTCAATTAAAATTAAATTAAATTCATTAAAACCCCACCAGGGGGCAACTTTTTGTTATACTCACACCTGTATGAAATACCTAAATTGTATTACATATAGGTGAGAGGTGATTTTGCTTGATGGAATGATCAATTAAGTAAAGAGTTTTATTTTTCTTTACAAAAAGAATATAGGAAATATTCTTTTTATTTTTTCTTTACACCATGCTAAAACGTTCTTTTACTTTCTGGACGACCCTTGAATTTCTTATTTTTTCAAAACGGAAAATGTCCAACATACTTGTTTTATTGATTCTTGTTAAAAGGGTTTTCACTGTCATCATGGGGCCATTCTAAATTTGCACACAATCACTTCAATCTACATAACACTAAACAAAAATAATGTAATTTCCAGTTTGATGTGAATCTCAGGTTTTTCAAATGAGAAACAATAAGTTTAGCTTGGGGGAGGTTGTTGTTTCCCATTTAGACCACACTAAATCATTAGTTACTAATGTTGAACAGAATTTTCATTGTGGCATTTGCTATTCAGGGGTTGTGTTTACCTGTTTGAGTGAAGAGTACTGATGTTTTTGAGTGATAGCCATTCTAGCTCTGGCCAGGTCCAGAGGGTAGGTGAGGGATTGAGAAGTGACTCCAGCCAGTGAGCCTGCCAGATACCTTTTCTTGGGGTCATCTCTGCAGTGATAGTAACATAAATGATAAGTTAATACTGAATGTAATTCCATCAACATTTCAATGACCAATAAATCTTAAGTTTTAAGTAACTGAAAGTAAATTAACGGTAGCTAAAGTAAATGAACGGTAAGATGAGCTTTTTGAAGTGATCAAGGCTTTTCTAGCTTTTGATACCGTATATACACAAAACTAGAACTAGTGATAAAAGCAATATACTGAGAAAGTACAATTACCAACTTAATAGTTCTACTATTAAGTTGGTAATTGCACTTTGGATCTTTGCACAAACAATATTTTAGTTAAATAAAGTATTTTTGGCTGAAATGATGTGTCTGAATAATGCAGCAGCTGTAAGCAAATAACAGTAAAATATCTAAGATTAAAGGAATTTGTTAATCATAATACATAAAACAAATAGATCAGATAAAAACGAGAAAGCTATTCTAGACATCAAAAGTGTATAATTATTTATAAAAGTTGCTAAAAATGCTACATAAAATTATATCTACAAAAAACATACTGCTGATGATTGTGATCTACTCCAAGAAAGCGCTTCCATTGTTCATGAGCAGTAAACTGTATTGCAGCATACGGAATGATTCTGGCCATTGTTGCACTGTTTCCTCTCCACAAACTCAGCACTCCTTCTGTCTTGTAGGAGTTTATCAAAAAATTCAAAGCTCCTCTCATTGTATATGGGGTGTTTGAGATCTGTGAAACACATTAATTCTTCTAAATCCATTTTAAAGACAAAGTTGGACTAAAAGTGGGATAGAACGCAATAATGATTGTACAAACGAGGTACAGTGGACTCATTTTAAGAGAAAAAAAATTAACTTACTAAAAGAATCTGACATAATTAGCTTGATTAGCATGATTGAAATTTTGTTTGGGTAAGGCATTAATTTTTTAAATTACTAAATACCAACAATAAATTACAAGAGATTCAATTTTTATAAGTGAAAAAAAAAATAAACACCCCAAGGTCGATGTCATCAAGTAGGCATCGACTAACCTACGCTCTTAACCCCTAGTTTGGTCTGGTTTTGTCCCAGGCCTGCCTCGCGGGCTTGTACATGATTTTGTCAATATAAATGTTTCTGTATGTGTGAAAAGTATTTTTGACGACAGCTAGTGCAAGAAGATATATTTGACAATTGACAACTGAAGAGAAAGATTTAAAAATGGTGTTTAACCCCGAAACTATAGTCCTCCCCAACAATATAGGACTGATTGACGACAGGTTAGTAACTCCATTTTATGTCAATAAATCAATCCTGGAAGCAAATTATGTATAAATGTATAAAAAAAAGATAAACTTCAGCAAACTGTAAGCAAAGCATCAACTACTACTGAACTGATTTGCATTAACTAACTTTAACCTCCAGTTGTACAGTGCCTAGAACCCAACCCAACAGTCCAATTGTATTATTGCAACAAGTTACCTAAACTGACTATCCAACCAAGCTAGGATCCAACAGAAGGAAGTAAAAGATTTTGAGAATTTTCTTATCTTGGCAAACATTAGGGATTAGAACAAACAAATTGATATGCTAAACCTAAATTGTACTTATCTATCTCATACAAGTACCCAACCATAACATGCACAGAACACCTAACTTCTACAGAAACAAACTCGTTTAGAGTAATGTCAGCATAAACTCAAAGACTGTGTTAGGGAGCGTATTTTCTGGCAGGCTTTAAGTCGTTATTTATATTTTATTTTTATTGGGCATATAAATATATAAAAACTGCGCCCTTAAAATACTGTGTAGGCTAAACATGGAAAAGTCATATTTTAACTTCACATGGTTCATTTACAACGGACATTTATAAGAAACTAGTAAATCTCAATAATTAAACAATTCCTTTTTATATGTCAACTATAGGTAATTTACTTACCTGAAAGTTGATCTTGGTTCTATCTAGGGGTGCAATTGTGGTTTTGGCTACGGCGCCAGCTGTAGCTCCAGCGACAAGAGACAACCAAAAAGGCTTTTCCTATAAACAATCAAATAACTTTTAAATATCATAGGAAGTTTTAAATATGTTGTATAAGGGTTTTCTAATATGCACTTTTCTTGTTGTTCAATATGAGAAAATGTGTGCAAGAGATTTAATATTAAATATTCTTTTTTATTCATCATTCTCCAACTGGGTCCAATGATAATTGGAATGTTCAATATTCATGGCAACATTGATGTAAATTGTGGAACTAAGTTAAAAGAATTATAAATGTAATCATAACAGCATAGACAAATAGAATAAATATAGACTGTCAAAGGAAGGTTCCGGCGTTCACCGCTAGGAGTGCCGCAAAGTTATGGCGCACACCGCTGCAGGCGAGGAGCGCAGGAGCCGTATGCGACCAGCAGACGCTGCAGCGGTGTGCGCCTTAACTACACAGGAAACCTAGAGGTGGACGTCAGAACTTATGCTAACCACAGCACAGCTGACAGTCTATATTTTATTCTACTTGTCTACGATAAAAGTCAGTACTGATTTCAAAGCCGAGTTTAAAGTAAATACATAGGCCTACAAGAAATATAAAAAAAAGAAAATTTAAGGATGTTCCTATGGTTTAATAGTAGTTTACGCAACGATTGCGTAAAGATAGTGTTAACGACACGAGTAGAAAATTTAAGGTACGAGTCTTGGCGAGTGCCTTAAAAACTTCTACGAGTGTCGTTAACACTATTTATGCGAGTTGCGTACACCACTTTACCTACGATGGTGTTTTAATTACTAAAAATCACTACTCATAACTTCTAAAAGAGGTTATGTTTTTGTTTATAGCCTCTAATTGCCACTGACAGTGATGCAACGAAACATTGTATCAAATACTAATTGCACCAATCAACAATTAAATTGGCCTGAACAGCTGATTAGTTGAATTTAGAATCTTTACAATTTTGCTTCTCCTCTCTCAATCCTTGAACCTCATTGGTCCGTTACCCGTGTTGTTATGAGTAAAACTATGCTGTTATGAAAGTAAACAATGCTGTTATGAGATACTTTTCAATTCTAAGAACTGTACTGAAACGGCTACTTTAAAAAACAATCATAGGTAAATTGATTTCAACATATTATTAGGTATAAAGTATTAGAACTAGAACCATGGGTTGTTTAATATGTTTCAACATTATTTGAAACCAATTAGGGCTAATATGTTTATTTTTCACTAGCTGCATTGCCTGTGCTTTACGGAGAGGACGCGCTTCAAGAGAATATTGTAGGTCTTTAGATATGTTGTATAAAATATCCAGAGTTTATTTATTTTAGAAAGTTAGGGTTTCGATTTAAAATCTGGCGACAACTGGAACATATGGGGATGGAATGTCTCGTTGTATCAATAGTCAAAGATGTTAGTATAGTAGGATAATATTTTGGGGGAGAGGAGGATAATCTATTGGACATATACCTACATCTCGATATCCATCAGTGGCTACACCATACAAACAAAGACTAAGTTTTAAATTGAAATTGTATTAAAATACAGTAGAACCTTGATAACAAGACTCTCATGGGGATTGTAAAATAAGAATTGTTATCAAGGTTGACTTCTTATCGAGGTTTGTAATAACATGTGATTAGGGGTTAAAATAATTTTAAGGGGATTTGAAAATGACATGTTATCAAGGGCGACTTGTTATCGAGGGTCTTCTTAAATCAAGGTTCCACTGTATAACTTAAACAGCATTTACCTTCACAGTATCCCTCCCTTTGTTTTGATTAACCTCCATGCTCTCCCATCGGTTAGGAGTTGAAAGAAACCAATTATTTTACTGGAAAAAGGAAAAAAGTCAAATCTTCTATAGGCTTACTCTAATTAAGGATTGTTCTTTAACTATGACTTAAACTGGAAATAGACACGACCTTGGTCTAATATTCCAATTCCAAATCCTCCAGGTATTTTAATTTGTTTGTCACAGTTTTGTCTTAAGTTGATTTAAAAAAGGCAAATTAGTCCAAATTTTTTGGGAACTTGCCTTTAAGTCTCATACATACAGGTTATTCTGCAATATTCTCTATCCAAAGTATAATAAAAATGTGTTAGCCTCAGGCTATTTGTAGCTGGTAGCTTAACAGTAGGTAGTGTTACTGTACTCAAAACTGATAGGTACCTAGGTCCTACCTACATCATGTGTATGGTTCAAGGCATCGATCTCTATAGTTACAACTGGACCGCACGCTTTGAGCTGGGTTCTCGGTTTGGCCGCTCGGCTTCACTTAATCGTAAATTAAACTGTTGCTCTTACACATCAGCTACACATGTCTCTTTTTTCATTACCATGTTCACACGTACAAAAGACACTATAACTCTGTCACCGTTAGGTGGTCGGACTGATACTGGCCTAGTTCTAAACATTACAGTGTGCAATCCAGTCGCACTTATAGTGGTCGATGAGCAATGATGGATTTAATTATTTTAAAGTATTCATGAGCACCTCATTTTTAAGTTAGAAATCAAATAAAATCTTAATGATAAAAGACATCCAAGCCCACTTTCAAATTTTGTTACCTTTTAAAGTGTGTGATTGGTACAGTAGACTCCTTTTATCCGGACACCTTTTAACCGGACATCAGTTTAACTGGACTACACTTGGCAGAAATGACATCTCTTTAACCAGACAATTTTCATCAGCACATTGGTTTAACCAGACTAGATCGGCAGGAAGTGGGCAGTACTGAAACGACTGTTCTCGTGGGAAAGATTTGAGACCAGTGATCACGTGTCTAAATACAATGCTCTCCTAAATTTAAGTCGAATATCACAGTAAATAGTCCGTTTTAACGAGTTTTTGGGGACATCGGTAGAGGAAATCTACTGTACTTCGGTATTATCTGGAGGCCACCCTTATACAGCGTGCTGTGGCGGTTATGTTAGGTTGGGTTATCATAAATATGTTTGTAAGACTTTCCTCGTTTCGTTATGAATCGAACGATACTAGATGAGTCATACTTTTGCACGCCAAATCCCCTCCAAGTAGTCCCAGGTCAGGTTGTTGACCGGAGCGCACGCATCACCTGTCAACCTGTCGCCTGTATCTGGGTCAGTGTCCTGCCTGAGCACTGATCTGGTATCATTCGATTCATAACAAAACAAGGAAAGTGCTACTAACATATTAATAACATGTACTAACCCTACCTAACATAACCACCGCAGCACGTTGTATGTATACCTACTTGGCGGAGTACATGTGGCAGCTAGTGGCGGCGTTGCATTTAACTCAATCCATGCCGACATCACTGCCTTCTGGGAGGCAGAACTCAAAGGCCACTAATTGTAATCGTGTCAAATTTGTACAGTGAGTCAATTAAAGTATTTTCTTTCCAATTATGTAGTTACAAGCTGCTACACCCGTGCTTTGCAACGGGAATAAAATGTGACCTAGAGAGCTATAAAAGTAATGCTGATGTGTGTTTTAAAATACAGCAACTCTATGATTTAGTTTGAAAATATAAACTGATTTATAAGTGTAAACTTACTTACTTTCAAACCCCTACTTTTTATTTCCAAAAGAATATGACAACATACCTTAGTGTAGCAATAGCATCAATTGCTTCATATCGATGATTCACGAATGACATGTTTTACCATCATTCTTCAACTTTAGTCAAGCCTCTTTATTTGTAGCTTACTATATAAATTACAATACTTTACAATACTTTACAATACTTTGAGCAATACTTAACAAAACGTATATAACCTTTCTTTAAAACCAAACATAACCCTCCTAAATCTACATAAAGCGTCACAAACATATTTTTCGAGTAAATAAACAAACACCAGTTCATTGTACTGACCAGCTGTTTCATTAACTAAATTAAATTAAATCATGTTAACTCTGGAAGCATGCCAGGCGTAGCCCTTTGGAAATCAGCCTGTGGGGCAGAGCCCTTTGGAAATTCGTCTATATCAATACTTTTCGGCAAATCTACACACTCTAAGCTTCATTTTGATATGCCATATGCCTATATTTTTATTTGGTAAATGGCCTTAACCGTTTACATAAAAGTTGATTGTATCGCTTTAATAATATAATAGATTTTTGGTCTCCAGTAAAAAAATCCCTCTAAAATAAGTAGCCTCCGGATAATACCAAAGTACCGTGACGGTCGTAAAGGTTAGTGTCCTCCTGAGCACTCATCTGGTACCATTTAAATCATAATGAAACGAGGTACCGGTAAGTCCTACAAACATATTTATGATAACCCAACCTAACATAACCACCACAGGGCGCTGTACACCTACTTGGCGGAGTACATGTGTGTTTAGGTCGTGGCTTGATTTGAACATGCATGTGGCAGCTAGCGGCGGCGACGCATTTAACTCAAAACTCGCCGACATCACTACCTTCTGAGAGGCAGAACTCAAAGGCCACTAATTGTAATCGTGTCAAATTTGTATAGTAAGTCAATTAAAGTACAGTGTTCTTTCCAATTATGTAGGCCTAGTTATAAAAAAAATCCCTAAAAAATATTTGGCCTCAGGTTAATACCAAAGTAGGCTACCGTGTGGTTTTACAATAAGTGAGGTACTTTATACACTACACCACAAACACCGATGGCTGAACACGGTATCATTATGATAATAGTGTTCCGGGCCCCCACAACCCGGTGACGTCAATGCCAGACACCTAATCCACGTTCGGTTATCGGGCCCGTATCCTCTGCATAAACAAAATATGTACCTTAGTTAAATAACAAGGAAATTTTTGTGGCGAGGGTGACCAAGAGTACCTACTATAGTAGTTTATGTATATCATTAGAAACTAGATTTTTACCTGAAAACAATGGTGCAAATTTTTTTCTGCTGTCACAAAAACTGAATTAATTAAGATTTTTTGAATTTTATATTACTTCAGTTCTTATTTAGACATGTGAGATTGGTAGGTTGGGTGTTATGCGGATTCGTGACTGTATTAAGTGTTTTGAAGTTAGGGTTAAGCTAGGGTTGTGGGTAATAAGTTAATTTACTTTAAAATAGCAAATAATCAATCAATAATTTGATTTTACAGTGTAAACATTGAAGTGCAGATTCAACGTTCCTAATACAATATTAAAATAAAATTCAAAAAATTGTAGTTATTTCAGTTTTTGTGACAGCAGAAAAGTATTTGCACCATTGTTTTCAGGTAAAAATCTAGTTTCTAATAATATATAAATAACTATAGTACCTACTCTTGGTCACCCTCATCGCAATAATTACCGATAACAATATTCAGTGCAGATATTACTAGGCATAACTTAAGTTACCTATCCTTTAGTACAACGGTCTTTTAGTGACAAAGCGGTTTCTGTTAATATCGGTTAAGTTAAAAAGGTTTTAACTTATTTATGAGAATCGTCAAGTTCTCATACCTTATATAAGTTCACTTGCCACAAGAGAAATTATATTTGGATTATGATGATTATGTAACAAAGCCTAAGGTGGAGAGATTAAGTATGTGCCTGTTTATAATAGGCTAAGTTCAGTTGGTGTAGGTAATTTAGAGCCTTAAGAGTTAACTTTGAACTAAATTTTACAAAAATTGTATTTTGTAACATGCAATTAAAGCCGGTTTATGAAGTACAGACATTAAAAACAAATTAATAGCCTACCTATTCATAAATTATGCCTAGATGTACAAGGGTAATAACATCTCTTAACAAACGTCCCTTAGGCCTATACTTTTAGTATAAAGAGTTAAAAACTAATAGATCTATGCCTGATTCATTAATAACTTATTAAAAATGTAAACTTAGGCCTTACTAGTCTTATTTTGTTTAGGCCTAGGTCTACCCTACTATAAGAATTAAGTCAAGCAAAAAAAATCTAAATCTAAACGATTTTAAATGCTTAAGCATAGTATTAATTAACACATACCTTTAAATTTATGACAACTACATCCTCAATATTTTGAAAATAATTAGGATGGGATGATAAATAGATTTTTGAAATGGTGGTTAATTTAATAGTTCTACTAGTTCTAATTAAAAATAATAATATCAGGGAAAGCTTTGATCATTTTAGCCTAAGCCATAAGCTAAGCTTCCAGACGACACGACAGCCGAGAGCCGACAGCTGTTATTTATTGCACTTTGTGCTTTGGATGGATTGGCTGTGTGTTTGGTTTGGCACAAACAAACAGGAAATTTATACCCGGCCGCAGCAAACTTGCAGATTAAGCAAATTTCCATTTGCCTGTTTGGATTTACACTAAAATTTCTTCTCAAAAATATCACATTTATTCTCTATTTAAATATAATTAGTTTAACGAGAACTTAGGTTTGCTGCAACAGGGAGGATAATTTTTTTTTATATTAATAGAATAATAAGATATGAATGCATTTTCCAAATATGTTTTCAAAATATGTTCATAAACAAGCAAACTAAAACAGTTTACTTATTCTCCATAGAAAAACATGGGAACTAAGCTCCAAGCTCTACAAAACTTTTTGGAAAGAAATTGATAAATTGTATGTTTTTAGGTCAAAAATAAGAAAAACAAATTTTTACCCCATAAAACCCCGTTCCCATAGTCCGATCATGCTGGTTCCCGAACTCGTTTGAATAAATGTAGGTTTACACGTTTATACCAAATTTCACCAAAAACGTTTCATTTTTGCTCGAGTCATCGTGCTAACGGATTCATATATGAATTCGAACGGATGGTGTTTTTGGCCACTAGCAAAGACAAAAATATTTTTTTTGTCTATACCTACTACTAGAGGGACCTCAAAACGAAAAAGCATATCGGTTCCGGGTCCAGGTATTACCATAAGTACTACGGTAATAGTATGTTTTATCTATGGTAATAGCTTATTCCCTATTTGGAAAATTCGCTAATACCTTAATACTATCCCTTCGTTTTTGACCAGGTTTACTGGATTAACTGCGTCAGCTTTCTTAATTTTATATCAAATAGCAAAATCAAATGTTCTTGTCATATTTCAAAAAAATAATATTATATAGGTACAAATATGTCAACTCACAAACTTGGCGGGTGAAGAAGGATTTTGAGTCAGTTACTCGTCGCTAGATTATCCTCAAGGAAATCCTTGATGGAGAAATAGGCCGACTGAGTAAGTTGGTCTTTCATTTTTCTATCAAAATTCTTGGTCTCAAGGTTTCTCAAGAGTTCTCCGGCAGCTTGTTAAACCGCTTCAATGCCATGGCAGGGAAACGGCGTTGTGTGCTTGTTAGGCGTGTTCTCGATATCTAACTTGGTAGAGCCACGTGTAGCGTGGTAGTGGACATCGCCTCTGGTTGTAAGCTCGTTCAAGTTCTTCTTGACATGTACCAATGAGGTGATATTAATTAATTGCGTTATTTGCCAAATTTGGTTGATCATTCAATGAATAAAATATTCCCAATACCATACGTAATCGGAGTTATTATTAGTATGTTATATATGGTATCTCTTCCTTTGGAAGAACCTTTAAATAGTATTATTAAAATCATATTGGTGGATCTTTTGCAGTTAAACACTTCCGTGATTTCATCAGTGTAATATGATTTTATTTCAAAAGAAAATATTATTTGGGAAGACATAATTAGTAAGGCGCTAGGAGCAGTTGAGTATGCATGAAAAGAGTCAGAGATTTTGACTTATGATTTTGGTAATGGGGGCCTAGGTCTAGGTCAGTGTAAAAACCCATGTCGTCGCCTCCAGGGGTGGTCGACAACTTAGGGGTGGGGGCGCAAAGTTGCGAAAAACGTTAATCGGCAAACCACTTTTAACTCCCATGTTATTGAACGTGAGTAAAAGATTCATTTAAATTGACTTTTGATTTTGGTAATGAGGGCCTAGGTGAGTGTAAAAAACCCATGTCGTCACCTCCAGGGGTGGGGGCGCAAAGTTGCGAAAAACGTTAATCGGCAAACCGCTTTTAACTCCCGTGTTATTAAAGGTAAGTAAAAGATTCATTTAAATAGATTTTTTATTTTATTATTGGGGGGCCTGAGCCGGTAATGGGACTTGACTGTTCGACTGCGACTCATCGACAATCGAAGTCAGAGTTCAGAGTACATACTCATAGTGATTACTGAAAACTGATTATTGTTTATTGTCATCATAGCGTCAAGTGTCACTGTGCACTAACCCGCTAGTTCGACTGCTGGTGTGATAATTTTAGCTCAGTGCTGGTGTGCTGCTGTCTGATGTTTTTCTTTTTACTTTCTGGCCGAGTCCGGCGTCTGCAGCTCAGCTGAGTGACTCGACTAGCTGCTTCGCTTCTGCTTGTTGTAGTTGTCAAGCTATCACCACACCATCAAATCGCTATTGGCTTGGCTATCCTATTCGCTACGCTACCGCTGACGCTGATACGAACGATCAAAAGCGTGCCGGAGGCGGTTTTCACCTTACATCAAAATTTATTTAAACAGAAAATTAGGCGACTTATTTTTGAGGTTCGGTGAGTTGTTGCCGTTTGAAGTGAAGAAGAGAGCAATATGAGCCGTGAGTATCCTATTTGCTACAACGATTTATGTGCATGTACTAGTTAGTACCTATTTCACTATTTTCAATTTTGGATTACATTAACCTAGGATAAGAAGGTGGCTGCTGTGTACGTGCAGAGAATACTTCCTTCAATGTCCGTCGCTCGCAACCGCAAAACCATCATCTGTAGCCTTTGACCTCTCCTTCTAGTCCTTCAATGGCTTACTTGATAATGCTTATCAATGGTTTTTGGGTTTAACATTTTTGCTGCCTAATAACTTAAGTTACTTTTCCTTTTTGTCAGTGAAAAAACGAAAACAAAAATTATTGAATAGGCCTAGGCCCTACTATTAGATAGTGTTCACCGTGTTACCTAATATCAACTTGAAGCAGTCTGCATATTAATAAGTTGCTATTTAATTTCCACAAGTGTTGGTTAGTGTGTTTTAACACTAACTTATACTTAAGGCGCCTGAAAATTCCATTGAATAAGCTTAGGCCTAACTTACTTGTTCCAGCATTTCTTTAGGAATCGCTTACAATTTTTACGATGGTCTCCAACCAAGATGATTTTTTACGACTGCAGTTTAGTAATTGTATCATGGATTGGTGTGTAGGCCTAACAAACAATAAATGAAACTGAACTTTTCTAAGTTCTCTGTAATGACGCTGTCCTCTGCTCTTCCAGTATACATTGGAAGGACAACCATTAGAAAGGGTGTTTTCCATCAAGGATTTGGGTGTTACCTTTAGTGCTGATCCATCCTTTCATGAACATGTTTATGATATCTGCAAACAATCTCACAGGCTATTGGGATAGCCTACTTACATCTTTAGATCTACTCGTGGAATGACAAGCCCTGTTGTTTTAAAAACACTATATTCTTCCTTTGTGCGCCAACTCCTGGAGTATGCCAGCCCAGTTTGGTTGGGATCATTTTTTTGGTCGTGATAATTTTTTTGGTCGTGTGGAAACACTGCTGCCCAATGTTTCTCACTCAGGTGGACTTCCGCACTCCACCAGGGACCCAATCTCTTGATCTGTTCGGCAGGAGGCATCATTCACATGGTCACGACTTTCACATCCCACTTGCAAGAATGACAAGGCTTGGGAATCGATTCTGTCATACAGTCGACTTTTTCCACGAAATTAAGTTACTTCCTCTATTCGTAGAAGAGTTCTTGATGACGCCCGACACACCCTTGAACATTTACATAAAAAGTATTGTTGCTGTCGTTGTTAATGTCATTTATTTGTTATTTGTTATATTTATTTCTTACTATTTATTTAAATATTTTCATGTATGCCTGGTAGCTTGCTAGTAAATTTATTTTGTTGTATGTCAATTATAGTAATTAGCCGGATAGTGTTGTTGTTGTTATGCTATAGTTTGTTATTGCTAGGCTACTTATTTATTTGCTTGTTATGTCACCACATGTAGCACTTAGTATTCATTCATTTTTGGAGTATGTAAATAGTACCTAGCCACCTTTAGTTGTATTGTTATGTATAATGATTTTGGCGTTGGAATAAAATAAAATAAAATAAAATACAATTTCCTGGGCAATTATAAGCTTGAGTTCAAACAAATCTCTGGAACAAAACCAAACACTGTACTTTTCAAGAAGCACTGACACAGTAAGATAAAAAAGACCGATCCGATAACGAATTACACCAAAATGAAGAACAAAATCGGCACTAAACACGGCGACAATAACAACGTTCGAACCGCCAAATGCTGGGCTCACACAGAGGCAATGCTTGTGAGTAGGGATCCCAGACATCCTCGTTTCCCTGGACACGTCCTCTCTTTGGGTACATAAAAACGTCCGGGGGGGTTTTCGGCAAGACAAAATGTCCGTGGTTTAGAAAAAATAAATGAATAATACAAAATTATTCCTGAACACAAAGTAGGCCTAAGTTAAGTTAGTATTAGTAATTATGGCTCTAATCATCAATCGCCCAGGATGAGAATGAAATTAGAAACTAAGTTAACTTTAATTTTAAATATTGTGTCATTGTCAATGATATCTTATATTTAAAAGTTTTGTTTCCTTTTTGGATAGAATTTCGTTTTTAAAACTTAAAAGAATGTTGGCAAAATTAACCCAGCTGTCTCTTTCTCTGCTCATTACCACCCAGACCAGCGACTATCTAACTACAGCTAGCTCCTTGTCTGCTTTCTTCTTACGTTTACACTCCTACAAGTTGACATTAAAATAATTTTCTTATTTCTTGTTGTGTCATTCTTGAACATTCCTAGACCCTACTAATGCTGAAAAAACTGTATATTCAGTCAAGTTAAGAAAGGGATAGGCCTACAGTTACCGAAACTAATCACGACATAAATATTTTTGGTTAGTTTTAAGAAACGGAAATTACCTCTATGTTCTACTGTTATATATAGGCTCCCTTTACTACCGTGCATGCTAGGCTATTATTTGAACCTTTTTTGCTTGGAACAACAAAGTACTTAAGTACTTAATGAACAAATACCTGTACGAACCTACTTCATCTTTATTACCAAATTGTTTTCTAAGAGTAGCCGTTGAGGTTATTCCACTTCATACAAAATATTGATTAAAAACTACAATAAATCTCAAAAATAAATGTTAGTAAATTTACAAAAAAGTGTGGGATAAATCTTTAACATATGTTTTGAAATCAAAACAAAGAAGATCTTCATTTAATCTTGAATCGTTTCTGATAGAAAAAAGCAATCCGTATCCTAGCTGGCATAAAAAGTAGAGTTAGTTGTAAGACCTTTTTTCCTGAATAAAAAATTCTCACTTTACCAAGTGTGTACATTTTGCAGAATATCATTTTTGTAAAAACAAATATTGAACAATTCTCATCTCGCTCATTAACTCACAATCATTACACCAGACTAAGGAATAATTTAGAGTTACCATCATTAAGACTGGCCTCAACACAGCGCAGCTATAAATATTTACAACTTAAACTTTTCAATGCCCTCCCTGAAAATGTACGCAACTTGCCTATTAAGTCACTGAAAAATGTATTGACCGATTTTTTGAACAGAAAGGTTATCTACTCTATCGAGGAATTTTTATCTTTCAAACATGATGATTTTCTGTAAAATTCTAATTGTTAAGTAGGGTATTGTTTCTAAAGTATGTAATAATGGTTTCATGAACTGTGATATAATAGTCTTTCATAATAATGTTATTTCTGTGAACTTTATTTAAAAATTTATTGTTATTTAGTTTTAAGCTGTATCTCACTGCCAATTTTAGCCTTAAATATTTTGTTATAGGCACTTACCCAACTTGTTTGCTTAACTATAAACAGTATTATTATCATCATTATCAATACATCTCAAATAGTTTTGTACAAAAACCCAGTATTATTAGTTTATTAGTATAGTATGTTCATCTATTTACACTTGACTCTGTACATTGTACTTTGAATTGTATATTATCTCCATTGACCTGGCCTATTGTATGACATGTATACTTAATGGCAATAAACTATTTGAATTTGAATTTGAATATATCTTCATAAAATATACAAAATACACGTAAATTAATTGGTAAACTTTATTGTAGAACTAATTCAACACAAAAGATAAATGTAAACAATAACAGATAAAAACAACAATAATCATCTGATTATTTAAGCATATGGCAATCTTCCCCCCTATTAAGCTGCTCTTAGTTGGTCGCAGTGTCTCTTAAATAACCGCCCGTCTTCTGATTTAACGAGGTACATCACATGCCCAAGCGGCTTTTCTACTGTTCCTGTTGACCACTTTTCTCCTGAGATGTTTGAGTAATTTCTCATTAATACACCTTGTCCCTTTGAGAAACTTCTTCTAGTTACAACTTTACTTTTATTTTGCGGGGTAGGTTTAATCTCAACCATTAGGTCCATTTCGGTTCTTATGTTTCTCCCAAACATAAGCAAGTATGGAGATTGTCCTGTCGCCGAATGGTGTGTCTTCCTTAGCTGTTTCAGTATCATGTTTATCTTATCCTCATTGTGTCCTCCCCCACAAGCATGTAAGAGGTTCTTCACCGTTTGAACTACCCTTTCTGCTTGACCATTAGATTTCGGACAAAAAGGAGCGATGGTTTTATGTGTTATCTGATACTTCTTGAGGTAATTTTCAAACAAAGTTGATGTAAACTGAGTCCCGTTGTCTGAAACGAGGACATGAGGAAAACCAAATGCTGCGAATAGTTTGTCTAGTTGTTTTAAGCACCAGTCAGTTGTTGTCGATTTAGTCGGGATCACCTCTACCCATTTACTGTAAGCATCGACAACAATGAAATAACTCCAGCCTTTTGGTGGTCCTGCAAAGTCTACGTGAATACGTTCCCATGGCCCGCTTGGAGGTTCCCATGGATGGATCGTTTCCTTAGGTGGACTTTTGAGTTTCTGTTGGCATGAATAACAATGTTTGACTAAATTTTCTATCTCCTGATCAATATTTTGCCAATAGCAGTAACTTCTAGCCAGAAGTTTCATCTTCGTCATGCCCATATAACCGGCATGCAACTTGTTTAGAAGTTGTTTTCTTGATGTTAAAGGTACACAGATTCTATTCCCTCTGAACACACAGCCACCCATTAAGCAAAACTCATTGTCACTCAATCCAAGTTCTTTTAAACTCTTCCCTGTGTTTAAATAGTGTAATAACAATTTGAGATTTTCATCTTTCCTTGTTTCCTCTTCAATCTTTTTTCTTGTCACTGGCATTGCTTCCACTTGGTTTATCAGGTACTGCTCGTGATCATCAATTACATTTTCTGGAACCTCAGTGACCGGAAATCGAGATAAGAAATCTGCATTAGCGTGTTCTGTTGTATTGTGGTATTCAATCGTGTAATCAAATCCTGATAAAAAGTGAGCATAATTAAACATTCTCGAAGCTGTCATTGAAGGTAAGGTTTTTGCAGGATCAAAAATGGAAACGAGGGGTTTGTGATCTGTTATTAGAACAAAATGTCTTCCATAACAATAGGCGAAACATTTCTTCAAACCCCAGTAAATACCTACAGCTTCTTTGTCGATTTGGCTGTACTTTCTTTCTGCTTTTGTGAGAGTTCTTGAGGCGAATGCTATTGGCTTCTCTGATCCATCTTGGTATCTGTGAGATAAACAAGCACCTAAGCCAGTAGGACTCGCATCTGTAGCAAGTACCAATGCTTCACTCGGATCATAATGAGCTAATACTCGTTCACTGGTGATTTCAGCTTTGATCTTCACAAAGGCATCTTCGCACTCTTTATTCCATGTGAACTTCTTTCCATGTCTTAGTAGATTGTTTAATGGTTCCAGATAGGTTGACATGTTAGGCACAAATCGTGTGTAGTAATTTGTGAGTCCTAGGAAACTTCTTAGTTGAGTAATATCTTCTGGTCTCTTTGCTTTACTTATAGCTTCGACATTTTCAGGTGATTTATGAAGGCCATTCTCGTCTATAATATGACCTAAATACTTTACACTTTTCTTGAAGAATTTGCATTTGTCCCGATTCATTCGTAAGTTGTATTGTCTAATTCTTTGAAAAACTTCTTTTAGTCGACTCATAGTTTCTTGGAATGTGCTCCCTTGAATAAGTATGTCGTCAAAGAAACATACAGTGCCTTCTAGTCCACAGAGAACCTTGTCCATAAATCGTTGCCATATACTTGGCGCTACTTTTATGCCGAACATTAGGCGATTTACTTTGTACAAACCTAAATGAGTACTTATGGTTTGTATTTCTCTTGATTCTTCATCCATTGGAAGGTGCAAATAGGCATTACTAATGTCCAAGGTGCAGAAAAATTTCCCTTTGTTCATGTGTGTAAAGATGTCTTCAATGCGAGGTATAGGGTACTTCTCATCTAATATTAGTTTGTTGGCTGTTACCTTGTAGTCAGCGCAGAGCCTTACACTTCCATTAGGCTTTTTTACGGAACAATTTGTGTTCCCCATTGTGAGTTTTCAACTTTAGAGATTATACCACTGCTCTCTAGTCGATGTAGCTCATCTTCAACAGCTTTCCTTAGAGCATAAGGTACTTGTCGTTTTTTTGACGAAAATTGGTTTTGCCTCTTCCTTTAGCTGTATATGTCCTTGTTCTGAATTTATTTCTCCGATTTCTGCCTTGAAAATGTCTTGAAAGTTTGTTAGGAGTTTATCAAGTTCCTCTGATGTGTTAGTATCCGTAAGTTTTATGTCAGCCCAATCCATCTTGACTTCTCGGAGCCACTCACGTCCAAAAATTGGGTCTACATTTTGTTTTAAAACATAGAGCTTCCCATGAAAACTGAAATTTCTGTACTTACATTCAACAAAACAGACTCCCACAGGCCTTATAATTTCTCCAGTGTATGTTCTCATTTCCACTTCCGTCTTGAATAGACGTTTTATTAAGTTCAAGTTTAAGAAAATCACTGTATGATAATGAGCTCAAAGCCGCTCCAGTATCAAGTTCCATATTCAATGACTTGCCTTCAATAGAAACGTTAATTATAAACTTGTCATTCACATTTGGTGTCCCCATCATGTAAACCTCATGAACGTTGTCATTATCATCTTCAACATCAATTTTATTTGATTTTAACTTGTAAGCGTTCTCGCTTGCATTGCTAACCATGTTGACAGTGAGACAAACATTCGCAATGTGTCCAATCTTGTTACACTTTCTACAAAATTCATTTTTAAATTTGCAAGTATCAGCTTTATGTTGAGTACTGCCGCATCTGTAACATTTACCTCTTAAATCTTGAAAGGTAATATGCGGTTTGATTTCATTTCTACTCTTTCTTGTTAACCCAGATTGTTTACTCACATAGTTAACATCCTTAGTTTGTTCTGTAACGTAATGAGAGTACTTAGGTTTTATTGCATAACTTTCCAGTTTGGACTGTTCAATAGAAATGGCCATTTCTACCACTTCTTTAAATGATAGTGTATTACCTTTTTCTTGAAGGAGCCTAACTCTCACTTCATTATCTCTTAATCCGCGTATGAATTACATCTTCAAGAACATATCACAAACTGAACGTTCACAGTTGTAACACTTAAAATCACAGTCAATTGCCAAACGTTTTAGTTCTCGAGCGTACATAGAAATTCCCTCTTCAGTATCTTGAACTTTACTGATGAACCTATTTTGGTTAGCAAGTACACTTGGAGTAGGTTCCAAACAGTTTTGCAGTATATCTGAAAGTTCTTCAAACGATCTGTCACCTGGTGCCTCGGGAGCAATCGCGTCACATAATGCCTGATGCATTTCGGGTGTAAGAGTACTAAGAAACAGTTGTGTTTTGGTTTTGGACTCTGTTATTTGTTTTAGGTCCAAGAAATTTGTAAACCGCATTAGGAAATTCCGAAAGGTTTCATTTTCTGTGTAGGGTGTGAAACTCACATTCGGTATGTTCAACTTATGCGGATTATTTCCTTCACTAGAGTCATTCCTCTCTACTCCTGTTTGCTTAATAGTGACAAAGAATGGTTGTAATAAAGCTCTTGCCTCGAGGTATGTTTCCTCTAAATCTGTACGGTAATCTTCTTCTCTTTCAATTTCATCTTCATCGTCTGTAGTTGTTATAATCTCTTCATGTAACAAAGTGAATCTCTTCCACGTTTCATCCAGTAGAGTTTGTCTGCCCAAAGCATCGTATATAGAGGAACCTTTGGTTTTCAGCACATGTAAAGTCCTTGTAATTTGAGACTTTATGATTCCTCTTTGTTGTTTTAATTTTCTAGTTTCATTTTCACTTTTTCACTCGTCGCCATTGATATGTCTTCATAAAATATACAAAATACACGTAAATTAATTGGTAAACTTTATTGTAGAACTAATTCAACACAAAAGATAAATGTAAACAATAACAGATAAAAACAACAATAATCATCTGATTATTTAAGCATATGGCAGTTTCTTTAATCTTGAAAACAATTTATTTCAACTTTGACATAATTAAAAATTCTTGATTATTGTCATGTGGGTAACGTTATCCCATTATATAGGCTAGTTGGTTTTATATAGTATACAGTACATTGCAGAATTGACTGGCAAATAAGTAATCCAAATATAGTAAGCCTATTGCTTACTGGCTTGATGATAAATCATGATCAGCTGTATTGTAGTAAATAAAAATCAGCTGGAAATGGCTTCTAATGCTATTCTTATGGAGAACATTATACGTTATATCTAATTTTGTGTAAAGATTTTGGGAATTTCACTATTTTTCCCGCCGTCACGGGATCGAGACCTTTAATTTAAGCCCTCTCCCGTCATTCTACGACTTCCCAGGCGCCCACAATTTTGACGCAAAGAATCGGCTTACGTACAATTAATATATAGATAGATATAAAAATAAGAATTTTAAATGTACAGTTTTTGGTATTTTTGGAACTTACTTTCCTGTTAAATGGAACATTCATTATTATCAATGTTTTTTTTTTTTACTTTCTCCCCCTATACCATAGTATATGGAGGGTATTGTTTTCGTCAAAATATTCGAGTTTGAGTTTTGAGTGGATATTCGTTTTGGGTCCCCCTGGACCCAAAAAAGTGGTTTTTGAAGTGATGTCTGTGTGTGTGTGTGTGTCTGTGTGTCTGAATGTGTACAGAGCTAGAGACTACACCTGTGGTCCGATTTCGATGAAATTTGGTATGTAGGTTCTAATCCATGGTATCTCCAGGTTTTTTTTTCATTTTTTTGAAATTTTGATTTTTAATGGGGATTTTTCCATAAAAACCCATAAAAAACTGGAAAAATCGGATTTTCTCAAAAACGGCCCAAACGATTTTGATACAAATTTAGTATGTTGTAGCCCTTTAAATTCTGAACAAAATGGTACAAATCCCATTTCTGTAAAAATTACGGTTCAAAAGTTATGGTAAATTATGTTATTTTCCCATAAAATCCCATAAAAAACAAAAAATAGGATTTTAGACAAAAATCCGGTTTTGATTTAACATAGTATGTTATGGTCCTTACAATTTTGATAGTTTTTCATTTTTTAGAAATTTTTATTTTTAATGGGGATTTTCCCATAAAACCCCATAAAATAACGGAAAAATAGAACTTTCCCAAAAATGGCCCGAACGATTTTGATAAAAATTTAGTATGTTATAGTCCTTTATATTCTGAACAATATGGTACAAATCCCATTTCTGTATAAATTACGGTTCAAAAGTTATTGTAAATTAATTTATTTTCCCATAAAAACCCCATAAAATAACGGAAAAATCGGATTTTCCCAAAATTGGCTCGAACGATTTTGGTAAAAATTTAGTATGTTATAGTCCTTTAAATTCTGAACAAAATTGTACAAATCCCATTTCCGTATATTTCTCACCGCTTACACATGATAAAGGTTGTTGTCAAACTTATGGGAGAAAGTATGTGTCAGAATGCTGATACCGTTTATTATAATTTGTATTTGCCATTTCAATGAAAATTATTAAAGTATTTAAGTATCTTGGCCTACCCAAATATTCATAATCACATTTTGACAACGATTCTTGATACCGGTACTTTTCCTAGAATATAGGCCCAAGCTACCTACCTACATAGGAAATCAAATTATAAATGTTTAAAAACCCAATTTTGTGCGATTTTTGTCACATTTCCTCCTAATCATTACCATACTAGTTATACCAATCATATTTTAGAGAATACATCATCTTTTCTCTATTAAATAACAGTTCCAGTCAGATTTTTGTTCTAGAGTGACCTAGGCGCAGGAAATGATGTTTCTTGTAAGCATTCTGTTCTGGTCAGATATGTGTTCTAGAGTGACCCAGCCGCTGGAAAGGATGTTTCTGGAAAGCCATCTTGATTTTAAGGCTAAATATATTTAGCAAACTTCCTTACTGTTGCAAAAGTTCTCACTATTTCTTTCTGTTGTAGCTAACCCATATGACCGACTGTTAAAAAATATAAAGGTTGGAGGGAAAGATTTCAAATACTATGACCTGCCATCCCTGGGACCTCATTATAGTAAGTACAAAAATATAGAATTAATATAATTAATGGATCAAATAAGTACCTACTAAATAAGTTTAACTACTGTATTAGAGCCTAACAAATTCTTAACCCTTTTCACTCTCATTTTTGGGCTCCGGTCCCATGCACCAGAGGTTTAATTTATTATGTAAATAATTAAGCCTACCTGTATTTTAAATTCAAAAAAACAATGTTCATAATTTTTTTTCTTCTGGTAGCCGACATGTGATACAATTGCGAAACGGTTGATGTCGGCTCACGGCCAACAAGAGAGTGGAAAGGGCTAAGTGGAAACTCTTCTGCTTTAAATTTCATGATTGTAATATTCTAGTCATTGCCTGGACACTGTGTTCGAGAGAAGTGCATTAGGCCTATTTATTATTATTTTCTCTACAAATGGAAACTAACTTGAAGATGAATAGAATAGAATAGAATATATATTTATTTTCTCAAAGAACTTACAATACATTGTACATCTTTCACAATTATTGTACATTAATTTTCACTTGAAGTAAAACAAAAAAACAACTTGGTTATAATAAAAATAGACTTGAAATGAAATAAAAAGTCCATTGTTCTCACCAGGCTGACAAAAGACAAGTTACAGTGATCTGAAGCACAAAAACAACCATACTGTATGTACAATAAAAGTGACCTTTATAATTTGAATTTGAGAAAATAATTAGGGCCTCATTAGGCAAAGCCTGTGGTTGAGGTTCCTTTACTTGCAAAATTTAATGTATACACAGAGCGATCAGATAGATATAAAAACAATACTAGTAAAAAACACAATGGTCTCATTCGAAATCTAAACCTAAAAACAATAAATGAGAAAGACAAATGATTATTCAAAACACCTGCCACATATGTTTGATTCTTATCTATCATGTTTGTTATCTCTGGTTTGATAACTGAAACCGTACGCACTGCACTAGTGCCACCAGGCGGCTGATAGCCCTAACCCAAGGGCCGTCATAGCACACTACATACAATGTATAGACCCTGAGTGGCATAGCCCGCCAAAGTGCGTCCTTAATTGCTAAAAAGATGAGGTTGAAACAAACCTAGATCATAAAAAATAATGCTCTTTTGGTAGGTAAAGTTTATTAACAGTATAATATTTGACTCTACAACTATTTTGTAAACTGGCAATCATGTTCAATTAAGATTTGAAAAAAATAAAATTTTACATGTATTCATTTAACTAAACATAGATTGGAAATATGAACAAGTTGTAAAACATCCCTTAATAGATTTGTCATACTTGAGGATCAGCTGAAGACACTTTTATTGTCAGTTCCGTCTAGTGGCGCTAGGAACATGTTTTTTTTTTTAAATTTTGTTCTTGTTATATTTTAGCTAGGCTATTTGAAATATTGTTTTGCCAAATTAAACATTCTAATCATAAACAATAGGCCTAACTCGTCCCCTAGTTATATAACCGAACAGTAAAGCACAAATCATCAAATTAACCCTAAAATAATAGCAACAAAATTTTTTCGACCCTAGCGTCTTGTGTCGCCCACCACCATGAACTAGACATAAAAACAAGCTTCAAATTTTACAATGGTATGAGAAGTCTACTTGTGTTATATAGGCCAGGCCCACCCAAAATGAACATTAAAGTATATCTTTAAATACTTTATAGGTTATTTGGTTGATATTATTCAATAAACTGCGATATAAATTAATTATGAACTTTCAACGGGTCATAACTTTTGTTGAAATATAATGCAATCATCTCGTAACACATTAGAAGGCCATGGATTTCGGGCCCTTCTAGCCACCATAAGAACTTAATTGACAAGGCAACGCCAGCCGGCGGCGCTTGACTATCAGGGAACAATGCATTGGTATATGGAGCCTTGTGGGCCGATTTGAGCTGGATCTGTACGTTGATTCTCAATATTCTCGCTGGAAGAGCTGAGCGCTAGTAGTGTAGCTTTGTTTACATCCCGCCGTTTATGACGTACACCAACCGGCAAACGGGTTGCAGTTGTAATATTTTATGAAATGATAAGTTAAAACTTTTAGTTAGTTTTGTAATATTATTCGTACAGATTTATTAGGGTAGCCATATTATGGTTTTAGTGATCATAAATTTAAAGGTGTGATGGTGATGTTCAAATGGGGTTAGGCCTACTTAAACGGTACCTACTGCAATCTTCAGAATTGTGAGTTATTAAAAATGCAGTGCTTGCCATGATTTCAATAGTAAAAAATAATAGTAGAAAATAATGTAACATTTTTTAACCAACCCAACTTCTAATCAGGTGTCTCAAATGATAAAAACCCAGTCTAATTTATGTCAAAAATTTCAAAAAACCTAATTTCAAAATTCCATAGGCCTACCCCTCAAACCCACCGGAATGATCCCACTCCGCAATGTCCCACCAATGGCCCACCCTACTGTTCAGGTAAAGTGCTGTCACTGCTACTACCTACGTATATACTCAATATATACAGGATGGCTGAAAGTAACTTCACCCCCTTACCTTTTTAACTTTTTGAGATGGCAACCTTCTTAGTTATGAGGGACCATCATTGTGACTATTTGATTTGTTTAACTTTACTTTTAGGGAGTAGTTCAAAATCTAGCGTTTTAAAAACTTACCATCATTAACTTACTGCCTCTCATGTCTAAAAAGGTTGCCACAAGTTGATTTCAAATATCTCAAAAAATAGTTAAAAAGTTAAGGGGGGTGCAAGTTACTTTTTAGCCGTGGACCCTGTCTCCTGTTACATGGTAACCAGTGATTAGTTAACATACAGTATCTCCATTCCAAGTTGAATAAAGCACAGAGTAATTATACAGTATTAATTTAAAGTTTATAAATATTTGTAAAAACAACCAGTAACTAAAACTCTCCATCAACTTTTTAGATCAGTTACCATTCTCTATTCGAGTTTTGCTGGAATCAGCTGTTCGAAACTGTGACAATTTCCAAGTACGTGAACATGATGTGAATAACATACTAAACTGGACTGAAAACCAGAAGGTAGAAGAAGGAGTGGAAGTGGCATTCAAACCTGCCAGGGTTATACTCCAGGTAAGATTTTAAGATTCATTCTATTTCAAAACATAAATAATCAATTTTATGAAACAGAGAAATTTGATTGAAGTAAGTGTATAGCTTATTCAATTTAACACCTTAGTCAGAAACTCCTCCTGTAATGCTTAATTTTGTTATAATTATAAATATAAAACCCATTAACTACCTTGTTAAATTAGAACATCACATATCATGTTCTGTACTCCGAGACATTTTCAGGTGAATTTATATTTCAAAATGTGCATACTATTTTTATTTTGTGTAGAGTACACCCTTTGCATTCATTTTTTTGCTGTGGGGGAACGGCCCAAACCCTGGTAGTAACATCGTATAGGCTATCCTGTTGTTAGATAGCATCATTATTTGATAGCCCAATTAATCCACTTGCTAGGGGGGTTCCCGTGTGCATTTTATGTATAGAAAAACACCCTAAGGGATCATGTAGGTACTATGTGGGTTATCATTTTTCACGTGGGTGCCAGCTTGGCAGAGTGGGCATAACCTCAGAATCCGCCATTTTAAAAATGGCGGCGGCATTTATTACATGAAACTCATTGGGAGCTTATATCTCGAAAACGGTAATATATAGCGAGTTACTTTTAATACAAAAAATGTTGCTTACACAATAAGGAACAACTTTTGTATTTACAAAAATGCCCTAAATATAACTATTTAGGAGTACCGTAGTTGAGCAATTTATGTTAATTTGACCTATACATTTTTACTCTGTTAGACAAAAAAATTCTAATATCTTTTAAAAAAAAACTGTTTTTTAAATTTGGCACATAGCACTAATTGCTCTTTACATCTACGGTCTAAATATCCCCGTCGCAGCAAACCTGCAGAATCAGCACACATTTACCTGGCTGCATTCCTACTAAAATATTAAAATTGACGGATTGATTTCCTATTTAAATGACATTGATTTGTAATGAGTACTTAAGTTTGTTGCTTCAGGGAAGGTATTGAGGTGTTTTTTATATATTTTTATTGAAATAATGATAGCTTAGTATGAATGAAACAAAATTTTGAAATTTGACTATAATATATCCATAAACAAGCAAACTAAAACAGTTTATTTATTCTCGATAAGAATAACATGGGAGTTTTAAATTTAAATTTTTTTAAATTATCTCCGTAACCTTTGGGCATACAACGCTTCAATATACAAAGTTATTTCTTTTTTGAGGTCTACAAAATGGTTTTGTTCATTATAAAATTTCGTGTTTTTAGGGTTGAAAATCGGAAAAATCCTTTTTTACCCCATAAAACTCCCCACAAACCCCCGTTCCCATAATCCGATCATGCTGGTTTAATAGTCCGAATTTGTATGAAAACGTAGGTTTACACGTTTGTGATAAATTTCATTAAAATTGGATCATTTTTGCTCGAGTTATCAAATGAAGTCGTAGTTCTGTCTTTGGATACAGATGTCGTAGTGTTGGCTTTACACTTTATGAATGGATTCTCTTCGGAAGGTTTGCAGGAATTGTGGATACGACTTGGTACAGCCAGAACTTCATGATATGTACTAGTTCACATTATAGCAAACAGGCTTGGAAGTAACCTTTGCTCAGTTCTCCCAGCACTCCATATTTTAACGGGCTGTGACTTTGCCAGCAAATTTGGAACAAAGTATGCTACCCTAAAATGTAATCCAAGTACTTTGCTAATGGACTTTGAAAAATATGGGGAGGAAGAGATAGAATAAAGTTTGAAAAACACAGTGAAGTATCTAGTTCACATTAAAAAAAGGATACTCAGTGTGAAACTATGAATGATCTAAGACACTGGATATAAGTACACTGTCACTGTACAACGAATACTCTTAAAGAACTGCATCCTTTGCTCGTGAATAAATTCTGTCTGGTAGAGCTACTAGACAGCCTATCTTACGTGCTTTTTACTGTACATACATCCAAATCCATTGCATGAAAGAACACGTTTTTCAACTCGATCCTTTGAGTTTTGGACACAGTGATGGTGGTTACTCTTTGCCGCAATGCTCACAAGTATATTGTGAACAGTTGCATTTTTCTGATGACTATAAAAGGGAACAGATCTTATTCCTCTAACTCAAAAGACTTATAATTTAGATCCAATAACTGCGCTCAAATTTTATGATCCACGAAACTAGTTCAATATCAATACAATCAGTCCAAAGCAGCCTACCACCAAGGACAATGTCAAGGTACTGGTTGTGTTAACGAGACGTCAATGCTTGGCCGATGCACCAACTTTGCCGCCGGTCCCGTTCCCGCTCCATCGCCGTTTTAATAATAAATGTTATGAATTATAATAATAATTTCTATTACATCCGAAGATGTATTATTATTTGTAATAATACAAATGCATTATATAGAAAGGATTATATTTATTTTTATATTTGTATGCGTCATTTAATAACAAAAAAATAATTTAAAAATATTTTATATTATTTTAATAACTTATATATCTGCCAGAAGCTTCTCAAATGCTTTTTGCAGTTTTTTTTACCTTAAATGCGAAGAAAAATTAGTACTATGTGCCAAATTACAAAATAACAGATTTTTTATAAAGTTTCAACTGTTTCAAGTTTTCAAGTTTCAAGTTTCATCCTTTTATTGATTTCCCTCAAGGGGTACATCAAAAAATACATTTACAAAATACAATTACTGTACATGCAAAATAACCAAGGTTGGTAAATAAGTTTTACTAATAACTAGGCAAATAAATAATCATATAAATATTAACATGCAATAAATAATTCAATAAATAACCAATAAATATCTCATAAATAAATACTGTATAAACATAGAATACCAGTAGAAGAACAATAAATATTTACACATTGAATAGATTTTTTATAATTATTAGATTTTTTTGGCAACAGAAATGCAGCCAGGTAAATGTTTGTTTAGTCTGCAGGTTTGATTCGGTGGGGGTATTTAGACCTTAGATGTAAAGAACAATTAGTGCTATGTGCCAAATTAAAAAAAAACGGTTTTTTTAAGATATTAGAATTTTTTGTCAAACAGAGTAAAAATGTATAGGTCAAATTAACATAAATTTCTCAACTACTCCTAAATAGTTATATTTAGGGCATTTTTGTAAATACAAAAGTTGTTCCTTATTGTGTAAGCAACATTTTTTGTATTAAAAGTAACTCGCTATATATTACCGTTTTTGAGATATAAGCTCCCAATGAGTTTCATGTAATAAATGCCGCCGCCATATTTAAAATGGTGGATTCTGAGGTTATGCCCACTCTGCCAAGCTGGCACCCACGTGAAAAATGATAGCCCACATAGTACCTACATGATCCCTTAGGGTGTTTTTCTATACATAAAATGCACACAGGAACCCCCCTAGCAAGTGGATTAAATGGCCCTGGGTCTGAAAACAAATGAATTTTTAACGTACATATGCCTAATTCATTGCTTTGGCATTTTGTGTTCTGATATAGGCCTATTCAACTTTTAGTTATAAATATAAACTGAACATTGTTTTAAAAAGGTAAAAGATATTGATCTTGGTTCAATAGCTTCATTTAAACAATCTGAATATCCAACGGTAAAATTCTACCCTTGAGGGTAACAATTAATTCTACTGTTTAGAAATTGTATTTACACAAATAAAAACTACTTAAGTACCTTAAGAAAATATAGGCCTAGGCCTACCCAAATCCTGTTTATTTTCCTAAGTTTATTAACTAAACAGGACCTTCTGCTTTTAAAAATTAATAGGATGTTATCAAAACAAGAGTATGGTAGTTAGACCATAATTTTTTTGTTAAGTATGTTTTGAGCTAAACTCAAGTCACTGTCTGATGTTACCATTTTATGCTACACCTTATCTAGAACTTCTCTGTAATTACCGTTGATAACATGTCTGCTGGGGTTATCTGCTATAAGGAGACCTATTATACACTTAAATTATGTCACTTAAAACTGAGACTAAGCAGTCAATCATTTGTGAATTTTCCTTAAATTAGGGGTCTGATATTATCTTATTTGATGAGACAAAGTTTCAATTCAAGGGTTGTTGTATTAATAGTCAAAGGTAGAACTAAACAGACCAGTCAATGTTAAGTTATGTAGAACAGTTTATTTACATATCAATTATTCTGAATCATTCTCAGCTGTGTGTTGAGGCTATTAGAGCTTCATGATAAGGTACCATGAACACACTTTGGAAAATTAATCAAAGTAAAAAAGGTAAAAGCAGCTGATAAAATTGTTTGGTACCTATACAATATCAGCTTCTCCTTGGATATTAGCTGAAATTGGATATTTATATAAAATATATAGAACTGTAACACATTAAAATAAATTTCTGAGCTCTTTTTCCAATTCATTTTTTCAAGCAAGTGCTTAAAAAAATCAAATACACTTTAAACCATATTTCGATATTTTTGATAAACCATATTTGAAAAAAACATATTTTGATAAAAATTTTCTCTTTTTATAAGTTTTTGTCAAGCTGAAAAATCTGAAGGTTACTTTTTATTATTGTTTTATGATTTAATTATTTTCAATTATTTTTCCTATTTTTTTCTCTAGTTTTTCATACTTTGTGATAAAGAAATTCTACTTTACTTGATACTATTCCAAATTTCCACTCCGTTTGTGAACTTAATTGTTTTTAATTAGTTGAACAGTACACTTTAATTTGACCTTAGACTTTACAGGATTTCACAAAAATTATCCTGAATTGACAACCAGACCTTGCTATTAACTGGCTGACCCCCAAAATCTATAAATATATCCAGTGAAAGTATGAACTACATAACTTACGTATTTGGAGAGCAGAGAAAGTTGAATGTGTTACCTAGTATTGCCTGAGGCATTAGATGCTGGCAAAAGTGAACTGTTATAATTAAAGATCATCAGAAATTAAGCTTTCTGACAAAATAATAAAATATCACAGTAACTGTAATTTTCAGTCTTGCCTTAAAATATAATATAAATAATATAAATATGATATAAACCGTGTTTAAATATGACACTGTGAATAAA